GCGCACACCGCTGTAGTTTACGTAGCGTGTACGCCGTAACTACAATGGCGCTCCAAGCGGTGTGCGCCAGAACCTATGGTAACCGCAGCACAGCTCACGGTCTATATTTAATTCTTTTTGTCTATGCTGATACCTAGAAGAGAGGCTATACTCACCGACTAGGCTAAAATGTCAAAACTTTAGCCACAAAATTAAACACACTCACCATCTTTCAGCCAATGCAGCAGATCGTCCTGCATAGAACTAAGTTTGAACTTGTAGTTGGTTTCTTCCGTCCACTCGACTGGTCGACCAGACTCGGCACTGACCTTGACCTTAGTTCCGTCAGGGTTTGTGACCTCAGTCAGCTGAGTGTCAGTAAGGAACGCCTCATCAGCTGTGCAATACCACCCAGAGTACTGTCCCTTGTATATGTGACCTCTCGCCAACAACTGGTTCTAAAATTACCAACCTTTCATTATATTTACCTATATAAAACAGCTGTTATCAGCATAATTGGAGTTGGCAATTGACATGCTTTGGACATAATTTGAAATGATTAGGGTAAAACTGATAAAAAAAAAATTATTTTGGACTAAATTTTATTCCTTAATTTGAAATTAGTTCTGCTCTCAGTTCAATACAAAATTGCTGTGGTTTGAGTACAGTAACTTGTTGCACCAACAGGCCGAACTATGTTGCTTATTAATTTTTTCCTCAACGGTAAATACTTATGTTTAATGTTAGCGTATGGTTGTTAAAATAAATAGCAAAGGTAAAATATTGTTCAATCATGTACTTTTTTGACGCTCTCAATTTTTTTGTACTGTATTAGAATCAATGAAAACTAACTGTAATTTGCTAATGTTTTAATCATTCTACAGCACTAAAAAAGTCAAATATGTAAACTTATCAACATCTTACCCAAAAATGGTGAACTGCATTTATGTGGTTCTTATTTGTTGTTCTTATAAAATGTGAATAGTCTACACCAAACTCTTTGAAAAGATCTTTGTACTCTGATGAAATTTTATCACAGTAATCTATTGGTTCGGTTTTAAAATTTGCAGCAGCTTGTTGTATCTTTGATCCATGTTCGTCCGTGCCAGTCATGAAGAGAACATCCTTTTTACACAAAAGCCTTTGAAATCTTTGGGCTGCATCAGCCAACAGCGATGTGTACAGGTGACCAATATGAGGAGCTGGAAATATGTAGAATAATATTAAGGTAATAATAAAAACAATACGGAACAGTAAAATACTTCACCTAACCTACCTATCAAAACTCATGCATATAAATCATTGTTCCTCCCCTAAGAAAGTTATCTATGTGTTAGTTTAAAATTAACATGGAAACATCAGTAGACCTAACCTACTTTAGTTGTCATAAAGTATAGAGTGGTCCTTTCAAATTAAACTGCTGGTTTCAGATCTCTCTGGAATAAAACCTTACCAACCCAAGTTAAGGACTGTTTCAGGAGCTTAAAAACGGTGTAGTAATACTTCGGCCCAGTAACATTTCGACCAAACTCAAATTTCTTAGAAAAACAGTAACACTTTGTCCCACTCGCTTTTACTGTTGATTAAATAAGCTAATGTAGTAACATTTCGCCCCCAACAAAAAATTGACAAGGGTTGAGGAACGCAGCCATTGGTAACCTAGTAAGAGCCCCATGACCTGTATACTTTGCATCCACCCTGTGGTGGAATGTCGCCCAACTGTTACCCTTTTAAATTTGGTGGAATCTCACGCCCACCAAACACTTTGTTTACGAGGGACGGCGTTCCAAATTTTAATGTTTATTCCTCTCAAACCTAACCTAACCTTACGAAATTGGTTAAAGTTTAGTTGAAAATTATCTTTGTCAAAGCCTTGCGGAACACAGTTAGTGGTAAGCCAATTATAAATCTGATGCAATTTGGTACAGTAGTTTTTAAATGCTGTTAGTGTTTTACTATCCTTTTAAACTATTGAAGACCTGTCAAATATTTGTTGAGACAAAGTGTTACTAGTGAGCAGGTAGAGAGTTGTGAGCTTAACTTAAATTTTTAAGTTAAGTAGGCCTAACTAAAACTAAAACGATTCACAAAGCTCCGTTTCTCAGTGCCTGAGGCTAAAGTTTTAGGCTATGCTACCTACGATATTAAAAACTTGTTGAGTTGGTAGCGCCGCATGATAAATTAATCCAAGGCAGAAATGTAGTGGGTTGGCTCATGTCTTGCTTTAGGCCTAACTTAGTTGCCCTCCATGAACAGGTCTGAGACCAGTGTGGTGGATGTGCAAAAATTCAAGATTAAAAGAGCCTAAGCAACTTCTTTACGTATTAAAATGTAGTTTGCCTAAACTTATAATAAATAAGAAATGCAATATAATTGATAAGTTAAGTTACCTACTAGACCTAGGGCTCGCAGGCTAGCCAATATTAAAATTTTTACATAGCTTATGGATGGCTAATCGAAATGGCTTCCACGACAACAGACATGGTGTTTTGTTTATTTTATTACGTTATATGAATTTCTCAAGAGATTGTGAAGACCACTTTTTTCTATTTTCACTTTCATTTTAAAAGTAGGAGTTTACGCCACAAGGATAGAGGCCTTTTTCAATTTGTGGCCTTTAAAACCACTTGTAAATTGTAAATTAACTCTAGTAAAGTGTAAAATTGTGATAAATAACTTACATGAGTTGACATAAAATATAGGAGTTGTGATAAAATAATCGTCTCTGGAACTAATAGCACTAGACCAATTTCTTCTTGAGCCAGGCCGGCTTCTACCCAAAAAAGATTTATTTAAATACAAACCCCTCGAAGACAGTGGCATTTTCGGTCTGATCAATTCTCTATTTGGATAAATAAACAACACTTATATCATAGCCTTTAGCAATAATAAATGTAGCATTTCTCATAAATCATTTCTTCTAATCAAATAGGTTATGTTTACAATTTGACCACTCATAAATAAACAAATAATTTCGTCAACGGCAACAGCTGACCGTGTAGCAAGCATAGAGAGAGGAATTAAACTGGCCCAAAGAGTAAGATCAGACAATAATTAATTGCATTGATTTTTTTTACGGTATGTTGTAAGTTAACAGCAATAGTGGGCAATTCAAAATGTAAATATGGCATTTTAGAAAAGAAACTTTTAAGCAAAATAGTATATTTTGAATTCTACCATTTAAAATGCATTGTAAATTTTCATTTAAAGCTTTATATATGAAAAAAAATATATAAAGTATATTAAATGCCACTTCAAGTTACCATTTATGGCTATAACCATAGCCTCATCTATTGCAAGGTAGTGGTAAAGATTAGCTAAAATCCTGTCAGAGATGATATCATTATAGCCCTAAGTTTTGGGCGCGTTCTGGGAACGCATGTAATTGGTGTACCGACCGGTGCAGATGTCCCGGTGACTTACTCACCGCCCGGTACCACCCCAGGGCAATAGTCTTTGAGATCCCAGTACAGAAGTTACTGGTACTGGTAGTAGTCACTGGCTTACGGTACACATCGGATTGTAATTACCTATGTAATTTACACAACAACGTGTATTATCTAATATATAAAATTCTCGTGTCACAGTGTTTGTCTGCAAACTCCTCCGGAACGACTTCACCGATCGTTATGAAATTTGGTGTGTAAATTCTGTAGGTATGCGAATCGGACGTAAACTATTTCCCGTTTCGAAATTCTTAAAAGGGCTCCGCCCCAGTGGCTCTGGAGTTTCCCATGTTAACCTTATGAGAAATGGAATTAATGAATCTTAACAGCTGTTTCAATTAAACAAGTTGGTTCTGTTCTATGATGTTCAATAGCATTAAAGTTACAAGGATTACCAACAGGGTGCAGCACTATTATTTCTTTTACATTTATGACAACAGCTAATTTGCAACCAAAAGGTGAGCGAGCGTAGCGAACGAACTTCAACCTGGAGGCGAGTGAGCGTAGCGAACGAGCTAACCTGAAGGCAAGTGAGCGCAGCGAACGAGCTCCAACCTAAAGGTGAGTGAGCGTAGCGAACGAGCTCCAACCCAAAGGTGAGTGAGCGTAGCGAACGAACTTCAACCAGGACGTGATTGAGCGATGCGAACGAGATCATCTTGAAAATTAAACGTAACGGTACTTTCTTTCCATCGGTCTGTCTTAGGGGAAACCTACAACTTAGGCGATACGAAGTTCGCCGGGTCAGCTAGTTTACTTTATAAAATTAAAATCGAACAAACTTGCCCTCATAAAATAAATTATTGATACCTATATGTATTCCCCTATTACGTAATGTAATCCATCAAACTGATAAACAATTGATAATTTATTCGATGGAACCGCCATATTGCAATTGCCGAAGCTGCAGGCTTTTGTCTAAGAAACTGACCAAACAGAAGCCGCTGGTGCATTATTATACACCGAAAACAATATCTCCGGTGCATGAATTTTGCACCGCTGGAGGGAAAAAGAGGAAATGGCTGTCTGCTAGGTAAACTCACCGGTCAACCAGAACGGCGCATTTCCTGCGTGCACCGGTTAACATAAATACTGTACGTGTTTTGTAGGTACAGATATAATAAATGGACTGCAGGTGTCGTGTAGATAGATACATTTATTTGATCATTAAACGTTATACATAAAAACTGTATTCAATTCAACATAAAGCAAAATTCTAGCAAATTGTATAGTGTTATTTTCAGACTTCAGAGAGGGGATTAGGCTACAAACTATTTTAAATATTAATTCCACAGCCACAGTGTGACTGCTATACATTTCCTTCTAGGGAAATCCTGACACATTGATAATATTTTTGTTAGATCATTTTAATTATTTAGCCTAAGGTACTATATTACAATAATTAGCATTCTTTTGGGGGTTTAGGGGGCTTTTGCCCTACAAGCCAGCAGTGTATTACATATGAAATCAACAAGCCTGATTTGTAGCATGTTTACAACATCATGCAAATTCTTTAAACATGTTGGATCAGGATTTCAGTTTTGCAGCTTGCAGCAGTCAGTCTAGTGTGTCTCAGTGAAATCAATTTGTTTCAATTGGAAAGCCTTGCCATTACTTTTAACACTTGAACTAATGTTATGCAAAAATACCATATTTTAGCAAAAACTAGAGAGACAAAAACTACCCTAATATGTTTGTTATAATATTGTTAATAACTTTCCAGCTATCTGTGCAGCAGTGCTTGGATAAAAAGGTTAGCAAACTCATAGACCATATAATCAATAGAAAAACTGATGGATGACCTAGTTAAAAATATGTTTTCAATAGATAATAAAACGAGTTAAGTTAACTACCCATGTAATATTTTTTAGAAATAAAATAAAAAAATTTCTATATCAATCTAAAATGAAGTTGCACAAATTTGTGCCATATAAATCTAAAAATCTATAATTTTGGGTCCAATATTTAAAACTTTTCTCATCAATAATTATTTATTGAATCCTTACGTGAAGGCGATTCCTACGAAACACTACTCCTCCGTTAATAATGGACGGATTTTTACAAACGATGTGTTAAAATTAAGTATTTTTTGTGTAGACGCCCCTTTCACCAATTCCTGTAATATAAGTCCTCGGGCTTTGCCCCACATCAAAATCCCAATGTATTTCTTATGAAGAAAATATTTTGTTTACTAAACAGACGAAAAATTTGTATTAATCACAGCTGTTCATAATAAACACATAATACATACAAGAACGTTAGTTTTCAGAATGAGTTTGTTTTTGGTTTCGATAACTGGAGTGGTGTGATTGATTACAATTTTTTAAGTCATCGGAAATTCATACTGTAAGTCGTTTTGAAATAACGCCTGTAATACTTTGCAATTGCTCGAATTCAAGCAACAGGTGCACTAGTTTTTACTAATACCTGTTTAATTAATGAAATTGAAATAATAGGTAATTGATTGCCAATATGGGATTTTATCAGAGCTACTTATATATAACTACTTTACCAATTAAGATTCTAGGTAACAGCTTTGACTATCAATACAACAACTTCTGTGTCCAATAGTCAATGGTAACAGTTAGTATAGTCTAACATAACTAACAAAGGCAAATAAAATGCACAAACAAATTTCTATATTGGTGTAAGATACCTACATTTATATGATCTAGTGCGTTGTGGTATGGCAACCGGTTTCAACTCACTTTGGCAGTCATCTTCAGGCTAGTCAAGATGTTTTGTCTCTTCAAATGAATGAAGGTCGTTAATTGATAATAAATAATAATAGATAAGACACGCACACTAACACATTTAAATCTGCACATTTATGACGGTAAAACAAAAAATAATACTACACACAGTACAGGACGCGACGTGATTGGGCGGAAGGTATGTCTAGATATACTGTATGATATGTCCTGTACCGTTGACCGTTTTTGACCGGATTTGAATTGATCTTTTTTATTTGGCGTTTTCGGGTATCTTGGTTTTTTTGACCTTCATTAGCTACAAGACATCTTGACTGGCCTGAAGATGACTCCCAATGTGAGTTGAAACCGGTTGCCACACCACAACGCACTGGATCACGTAAATTCAGGTATCTTTACCAATGTATAGTATTTAAATGCGATCAGGAGGCTAAAATTAATATAATGAAGCAAAAACAAATGTAGATGCCACACATATAAACACAAAAGAACATAATAAAACTAAAACACCTAATATTTATAGGTCTCGATCACTATAAATTTAGAAGAATATGCCGTATCTGATCCAGGGGGATACTCAGAAAAGCTTCTATGGCATGTAAGTATTAAACTTACAATGTATTTTCCACTAATTACAAATTAATACTGTAGTTTTATATTCAACCAATGAATATTATTTTTTTTGGAGGTCAATATTATTATCTTATTGTTTTATCCACTCTACATTAAGTTATATTATATTGATTATTTTAACCAAAATAGTAAAATTTAGGCTGTAAATAACACTAAAACAAAATCGAACAGACCTGCTCAAAATAAAGCAAAACAAAAATAAATCATCACTACACTTAACTTATTGTAGATAAAAAAACACAAACTCGTAAACAAAATGATTACGTGAGAGACAATTATTTAATTTATTAATTAAAAATAGGTATTTACCTTTGTCTACAGCTCAAACAGTTGTAACTTGAGTAAAGGCCGTTTCGGCATTATAATGCCATCGTCAGACGTGGAACATTCAGCTGAAGTAGCGTCATCATAGTCGAAACAAACAACACGAATAACATTTTACAATTAACGAAAATACAATGATGAATAACAGGCCCGTCGTACAAGTTACTACTAGTTTAAGCTGTAGATAAAGGTAAATATCATTTTAAATTACTATCACTGCTCAGGGGCTAAAAATGGATTTTAATTTAAAAAGAAAGACGTTTACTTAAAAAAGTGAACCTTTAATTATTGTTGGTTTGTTGAATTGGTCTATCTGAAGATCTCTTTCTTTTAAAATTAATCCTGAAACATCTCCTAACACAGTATAAATAAACTCTACCACCACACATTCATGGGATTTCGTATATTATCAAATTGGTTATAAAGCAGCAAAAAATAAACTTAGTTTGTCTTGTCGACAGGTGGCAATTGTACAACAAGAAGAGATTGGCGTCAAGTTCTTGTGTAGTGGCACTATTGTAGGACAACACCATGTTCTAACAGCTGCTCCATGTGTGGTGAATGTTGGCATCACTGATTTACGAGTAGTTTCCGGTCTCGCACATCTACGCAGGTCTACCAACACACTAGTGAACCCTCACAGCGTGTTCACTGTAGTCAAGAAATACTACAACAATCACAAAGGTAAGAGTCTGGAAAAATCAGAATGTAGCCAGCAGGTTTGTTCCTGAGAAAAAACCAATAGTTTGTTGATGGTTTTAAACTTGACTCAGTTTTTCTCAATTAGACGATGATTAGGTTTTTTTTTTTATAAATTAATCAATAACTGGCACCCACTCATGCCATAAAATACTTGTTTTCAGCTTAAAAAGGATACATTTCTTTGATTCATAAAAAAATAGTGTACAACACTTGTTTCCTACAAATACCATAAGAAATAATTGTGTCCTCATCGTAGAAATCAATCCCACTGCAATTTACAGCCTGATTCTTGTTTGATGTATGTTTGATTTATAATCACACATAATGTCATAATGTCTTTTAGTTGTTTGCTTAATATTGCTCAATTGTTTAGGAGGTCACACTTTAAGTGTATAGCAAATGTGTTCATGTGTATCTTATTTCAGTTCTTAATTATTGTAGTACACCAGTAAAGGGGGTATATAAGCATAAGCAAAGATATAGTAAGGATACAAGGGAGAAAGTAACCGGGTAAGTTATTACTAAAGTATAACTTAATAATTTAATCCTATCAATCTCTTTTAGGTAATTTAGCAATTTTAAAACTGGAAAACAAAGCAACTTTCATATCTCCTGAGCTGGCGGCATTTGACAAAACTATTAAATATTCAAAACAATGTTTTACATTAGGATGGGGGATGCACAATCAGGTACGTACAACATGTAGAATGGAAATTATTTACCTCAATAAAGTTTTAATTTAAAAAATTATAGTTATACATGAAATCAGAACAGATTATCTTTACCAACCAATAGTTCTGAGATCATTGCCAAAAATATGTTTGATTTGTATCAGAGAGGTTAACTCTAACTTGAAGTAAAAAAACTTGTTAGCTGTTTAAAAATGAAATACACTGCAAGAAAAATGTTTAAATTCCACGTCCCCAGTTTGCCAGCAATAAAAGGCGCTTTCTTTGATCTTGGACATGGTGGACCATGACCGACACTTAAACCAGCTGTTGGTTTATCGTACAGAGAGATATCTATTATGGTCATTGTAAGTAAGCATTTCTACTGTGCAATAATCTGCACTCTCGAATCAATGCCAGTTAGCTCTCCGATATTACTTTTATGATGTCAGAACGTTAGGTCAAATTACCTATACTGTACAGTAATATAATCTATCGAAGACCTGTTTGACACCAAAGACCTAATATTGTATTTTATTAATATTTTAATTTTGTTTGAATATTTTTCAGTCCTCTTATTCATCGGGATGTCATAATCCAACTTTTCAAGATTCAATCAAAACTATTGAACATTACAGTGAACAAAGCAAACCAATTCTGAATAAAGTACTGGGTATTCAGAACATCATGGGATTCAGTAGCATGTTTATGTATCAACTGAGTAAAGTATTAGATATTCTTCCAGGCTTCCAGTTGCACAGATCTAATTCAAAAATGGCTGATGTAAGTATATTGTGCAGTTTTTGCATTAGATTATAAATGATTAAATTTTATGTAGCAACCAAGTAGTTGACGTGGATTAAATATACACATAAGGTTCATTAGCGGAATGTATTATGTTGACACAGTAATCAGAAGATTCAGAAGTCTTCTGGTTTCATCCCAAAAAAAGTCTAAAGCGTTTTTTTTTTAGTCCAGGTGAGGTGCTTGTAACTATCAATTATTGAGATGAGGACGCCATCTAGGTGCAGGATGGGCGTAGAATGTTGTGAGATGATCTGTTTAGCTTTGTTAATGACCGATAAGCATTAGCCAGGATCGTCTATTTAAAGCCCAATGATCTGGAACAGCTGGGTCCAGTTTCGAACAATGTAAAAGCTACTGACTTTTATCAGGATCAAACTGGTGACCTTTTGATTGTTAGGCGAGCACTAAAACCATTCGGCTACCCAGCCCGGCATCATTGGCTTTTGATAAAAGGTTCTAGCAAAAGAACCAGCTGATCTTATAGGGGAGTGTTGCTGAAGGTCTAAATCCCAGAGGGTCTAAAAGGACAATGAAGAAAACGTATCCACTGTTACTGTTTTAGACCTTGCGGAATTTATGCCTTGGGCACACAACCTATATTTTGTATATACAGTACATGATTATAAAATGAGAGTTGCTGAGGATCAAATCTCTGAAGGTCTAATTAGACCTTCGGTAATTCAATTTGTATTTTGGACTATTAGCGGAAGGTCTTATAATTAATAATTATATTTTAAAGATGAAAATTAAACCTTCCGCCACTGTTCGCGTTTCATCCTCTGTAGCGGAAGGTCAAAAATGTGGGCATTGCGTCGCCAGAGTTGAAGGCTGTAAACCCAGTCAATAACGCAACTAACTCTCATGTCTCTTGCGAATGGATAGGTAAGATTAGGTTAGGTTAATATTTTAGAATTCGTCCAATATGCAAACTGTAAGCCAAAGGTCTTTCCGGGACTTATAAGACTCTCATCAACTCTCATTTTATCATTTAATTAGAAAATATAGGTTGTGTGCCCAAGGTATAAATCCAGCAAGGTCTAACACAGTAACAGTACAGTAGCCTCCCTCTTATACGGATTCCACGCGACCGAGGCTAGTCCGGATAGCGGTTTTTCCGTTTAAACCGACGTCTCCAAAAACTCGTTAAAACGGACCGTTTAAATGCATACTGTATACAGTATTTGACTTAAATTTAGGAGAGCATTCTATTAGACACGTGATCACTGGTCTCAAATGTTTCCCACAAGAACAGTCGTCAGTACCGCCCAATTCCTGCCGATCTAGTCCGGTTAAACCGATGTGCTGATAAAAATTGTCCGGATAAAGAGATGTCACTTCTACCAAGTGTAGTCTGGTTAAACCAACGTCCGGATAAGAGGGCGTCTACTGTAGATAATTTTTCTACATTGACTGTCCTTTTTAGACTCTCCGGGATTTTGACCTTCCACAACTGCCCGTTTGGACCCGCAGCAATAAGTACAAAATGCAATATGTGTGTCGAAGGTTGATTATAGAAATTTAGGGATTTAGACCTTCAGCTACTGATCCATCTTACAGTAACAAAGCTATTATCTCATTTGTTTCACATTCAGCCATTACTCAACTTCTCTTTAAAACACACCTTAGTGTGTCAGTGTGATATGTCTAATCTAGAAAGTGTAATATCTGAGAGCTCCTTTGCAGGATGCAGAACTTGTTTGTCCTGTGGATGAGTCTCCAAGGCTCAAGGCTGTCAAGATGACTACTAAGCATCCTTACAAGTGTTTATGTCGCAACACCAGTCGTATCTGCCTCTACAGCATTGCTACTGATATCATCCAACAGGTATTCTCATCATGTTAGCAATTTGAAGTACTGTAGTATTTCAAAGACATTGGTCACATACAATTATATAAGGCATAATTTATTATTTCATCGTGGGTACTAGGCCTCTGGATAAAAATTGCAACATAGAGGAAGAAATCTGTTATGATTCAACTAGTGAGCTTCATTGACTGACAATAGTAGCATATTTAAGCTTTATCCTTGGTAAAAAATTAACCATTCCTTGGTACTAACATAGACAAAAAGAATTAAATATAAAACGTCAGCTGTGCTGCCATTACTATAGGTTCTGGCGCACACCGCTGGGAGCGCCTTTGTAGTTACGGCATTAGCGCTAAGTAACTACACGGCGCTCCAAGCAGTGTGCGCCAGAACTTATGGTAACCACAGCACGGCTGACAGTCTATATTTAATTCTTTTTGTCTATGGTACTAATAAAACCAACTATCATCGGTTGTTGAACATAAAAAAAGCAAAAATCTAGAAGAGGGTGATTTCTCCCTCTTTTAATAAAAACTAAAATCCCAAATAAAAGGTGGGGAAATGGTCTGAAACTTTATTATTATTAAATCTGTTTCAAGAGCATGCTATTCGTTAGGTTATTTATTTATTCCTTTTGCCCTCAGGTAGATATTGGTTCGCCAGTGTTTTGTAAGGAGAAGAAGTCTAAATTAACACCCAGACACCTCCAAACCACAAGTAAATTTGTTTTAGCTGGTGTAGTAAGCAATAAAAGAACTGAAGAAATACGTTGGCTGAAGTTTGAATCTCCGATAAAAATGATCACTGCCACAAATGTTACGATCTTTACAGACTTTATCCTTGCTGTGATGTTTGATAAGAACTAAAAAGAATTATTATGTATAAAGTCATATATATGATTAGGTTAAATAGTTTATTTTTAATGTTTTTAATTATTGTTGTTGATTTTAATAAATATTTTATCCACCCAGGCATTATGATTTATTTCCGAAGTAGAACTTGTTGAAAAGATGACAAATTGTTGGTGTCAATAATCAAAAACAATAGTTTTCCAAGAAGTTATTTTTAAACATTTTAATTCAAATTAATTATGAAATTTGTACTTTGTCAAACTTGAATGAAATTAGCAAAGTGGGGCCTAGAGTAAAATAGGTACAGTGCACCTATTGTAATGTTAGACGTTGTCTATGTCACAATATTTTGATTAGAGACATTTACTTTTAAAGGGAACCAGTACAAACCTCTTAAATTTTTATGGATAAGCCAGGTGTTGAACCAGGCATCCTCAACCAGAAGTCTGATATGCTAACTGGGCTATAGCAAACAACTCGCTTCCTTTCAAGAGTATTTATGACTAAAAAACATACTTTTGGTGAATAAGGTTAGTTTAGTGCATTTGTTTTTTACCATTATGGTTTCCTTTGTTTTTTTTGTTTGTTTCTTTCTCCTTGTCCTTTTTCTTCTTCTAACTGTTGAATTGGAACCCAATTTGGAACGTCTTTTGTACCTTGCTCTTTTTTTCCTTTGTTTTTGCTCTTGGTTTTGTTTTGTTGACCTTGTTCTGTATATCACACCCTATAAAATCATAGAAGTAAAAAGTTGAACAAATTCGTGCCATAGGTATCATCCAGGTTTTTCAAAATATGTTCACTACTTCCCATTCACAATTATGCATACTGAATTAGTAGTGACACAAAACTATCGTTGCAAAATACTTTTCACTACACAACTGTGAAATTACCTGTTTTCGTTATATGTTTATCACCTGCGAAAATTCATCATTATAACAACTCAAAATAGTATATTACGTTACTAGTCCTGAAAATAGGTGTTTACCGGACGAATTTGGTCGTTGACGTACGAGACAAAGTCGAGTGAGGGATTACCATACGAGTACGATAAACACATTTTGGACGAGTGACGTACGATATATTACACCATAGTACTCTAAGTTAACTTACCAATAAAAAATCTGTACAAATCTTTATTCCCATCGAATAAAGTACAATCACTACTCATAACCTCAAAGAGAGGTCATGTTTTTGTTTATAACCACCCATTGCCAAATATAATCAGCTAGTTGGTGTGGTAAAAACTCATTACTATAGTACGTAATGAAACCCCATTTGAACAGCTGTTTTCTGGACTAAATCCCTGAGTGGGAAGTTCGTTAAAACAGAATAGTGTGGTGTAAAGAATGTTAAATAAATATGCAAATTTTTGGAATTTGCCAACCCGAGTGACGTGAACAAAAATGTATCATGGTTTCATCAACTGTTTCAATTTGACACAACCAAAACTGTACAATCAATGAAAATCTTATCTTTAAACTGAAGGCTTAACCTAAAAATTGCTATGAGTTTTATAATGTTTCTAACTGTAATAAAGAAATAACCAATGTATATTTTAATTAAGAAAATAAAAATCCAAGTAGTGTATCAAAAAGTAACGTTCAAAACATAAGTGAAAGTGGCTCTAAAAATATTCTAGACCATATTTAAAGTGCTCAAAACGATAAATCTCGCACTTCAAAACATATGATCTCAAATATATAATGATTTACTTTCTACTCTTGTAATAAATATGATATTTCAACTCATGCATGTGCATTTTAAGTTATATTGCAATAAAAAAAAATCAGCACAAAAATTCACATAAGAATTACAATACCTATAAAAATGGAGATATAAGATGTTAAAATAAAGTTATGTATTCTTAGGGTACTTTTTTAAAGGTATTTACCCATATGATGATTTTCTAACCTGATCATCCAAGTAGTCTCTTAGAGCTGCTGCTGTGACTTTAGAAGTTATATTCTTCAACGGTCCTAAAACTTCCTCCAACAATATGGATTCATACCTTAAAATCCTTTTATACAATCGCAAGTTTTCTAAAATATACTTTCTTGCCAGCGAAGGAACGTCAACTTTACTTAAAATCAGTGCTATTTTCATGAATAAAATTGACAATACCACATTACTCATTAGACTAAACAAAACAATAACAGTCGGTGTTTGATTGCATGAAATGTGATAAGACAAAAACTGTTCTGCCAGTTCGGAGTATTTTCAGCTCAATGAGATATTAAGTTCATTGATGTGAGAGAAATGCAGAATACATAGGTTTTTTCATATGATATACCAATAAAAAGGCAGCAATCTACAGCAATTAATATACTCTTCATAAGGCTAGTATAAGGGGCAACTGCATTTACCAATACAGTTTTTTTTTTAAATATTACAACCATTAAAAGCCCTAATAAACATTTCCTAATGTAGGTAATTAATTAATTGTTTGGATATTATGTAATATTTTAGTTGTTAATTAAGATAAAAAAAAACAAAATTTTAAATAGGCAAAAACTTATTTTTAGAAACCAAGCCTCCCATCCTCTCCAAAAAATCCTTTCTCTGGTCAGAATAGAGTAAAAAATAAAGTAAAAAATCTTCTTACTGTGTAGATTTGCAGTTTAATCATCAACATTTTATAAACTTAAAAAACACCACTCCTCCAGTAATGTGCACACCACACCTGTCAAGTCTTTATATGACTCTTTCTTTCTATACAGATAGAGAAGGCTACTTCCCTATGGAATATAAGTAAAAAATGGACAAGCAACAGTACTCAACACAATAAATAATTTATTACGTACAAAACAATAAATTATAATCAAACTTCAAATGGCAGAAAACAGAATAAATTACTCCATAGTTTTCTTACATCTATAAAAATATATGACGTAGTAGTAAAACTTTTGAGGAAAAAGAAATAAAAATCACTGATGGTAGGCAATCAAATGTGTGGCTTAAGTTTGGCATAAAACAGGGTGTTATTTTATTTCAAATCTGATAACAATCAAAGCAAATAAAATCATACACTCTTATTTTTTTGGGAAATGGCTACAAATTTATAAATGTAGGTGAAAAAGGGTGGAGAACAACAAGTAAGACAGGAGGGTTTTCTTGATCAGAAATTGATAAGCTCTGTCACACCGAATTACAATGTTTCAGATCAACAATTTTGCACTTTAAATCAAAGTCCGATTAATTTCCACTAGTGAGAGTTTGAAGCAATGGATACTAAACAAAGAAATACTTGAATGTGCTCTCAATTCCAGCATTTCCATTCAGCTGTAGAATTGGCCTCTTTTCAATACTAACACACCGCACAACCAGATCTCCAACCAAGAGCCCAACTCCGCCAGTTCCAGAGCGAGTAGTACAATGGTTGAGCGTACACAACCGGCTGAGACGGTATTAGAGGCAGCAGAGAATAGCAGCCTAGACCTAGACAGCTGTCTAACTGGGTGTTCACCACCTGCTAAACAAATAAAACATCATAAATGATGATTTTTTTAAAACTACTTTTGATTACAATAATTAGGTTATTAGTAAATTAATGTTTGCCAAAAGAAGAGCCAAGAGTACTGTGGGTTATTTTTCCCTGGTTGATTCCAAGGTGGAATTACAATAAAAAATTACCTAAAGCTAAATAAAACATGAATTTTTATGAACCCAAGTATTTAGTGGCAAAAATCAATATACGGGGGCTGTCCAGAAAGTAGATTACGCTTTTCTCTGTGTCCGCAAGAAACGATGACGTCTGTGTGTTTGATGACGACGCACAGCTGCAAGAAGATGTAACCAAGTGGTTGAAGGCGCAGACGGCCGAATGTTACGACAAAGGAAATTCCAAACCCGTCCATCGCTACGATAAGTGCCTTCATTTGAAAGGCGACTATGTAGAAAAGTAGTATTTAAGTGTAACTTTCATTTGTATATAATAAAATACTTTTCCAAGACTTAGTTAATTCTTAACTCCAAAACGTAATCTACTTTCTGGATAGCCCTCTTATGAGGTAGCACTCAAACTTTTGAGGGCAAAAGTGATTATTAAAACATCAATACGCTAGGAAATATATATAACTTAAATTGTCAATAAAAGACTGGAAGGATGTTGTTGTTACTAATCTGCTAACAATTGTAAAGCAAATACAATACATGTAAAAAAAAAAATAACAACAAAGAACAACTGATTTTGAAGTTAGATGTCTTCCCAATTACTTTATCTAAAAGTCAACTAAAAAATAGTTACCTGAGGTTGAGTTAGGCTGACGCCTTGAGTGTTCACCACCTGCTGAACATAACAACAATGGTATTTACTGTGACAGTTAAATTACTTTAGACAAAGTAGGAAAAGTAATTTCTGTGCTTGGTAAAACTAAAATACAGTATATCATATACCTTATAGCAAACTGATTTGCAGGTATTTTCTGATTAACCTCTACGAGAGTGTGGTTTGGAATGTCCCACTCGGTCAACTTTTGGTAATATGCATTTCAAATAAAAAAATGTTAAATGCTCAAAAGTGAGATAAAAAGTTTTTTAATAGTTAAAATTGGTTATATTCATACATTTTTTGAATCCTTTCTCATTAGCAGTAACAAAAGGGAGACAGACAACATTCCAGTTCTTTGTTTAGAGTAATCCTCTGATTTATGGCCTAAGGGTAGTGGTCGTTGGAGGAGGGGTGAGAGAGGGGGAAAGGTTAGGAAGAGATTTCCTTTATTCTCGCTAACCTATTCACAATCATTTTAATACTTGATGTGTCATAAGCATTTGTAACTATTACAAAAAAATAATTGTCCCGCTCTTGAAGGTCAAAACTCGATTTATTTTTGCCAATGGATAAAATAAAATTGCCTTTAAAGTTGCTTTAAATTACCATCATACGACAAGATAAAAGATGAGAAATCCAAGACTTCCAACTAACCGTATTTATATGAGGCCTTTATGAATTAATGAAAAGATCAACCATCTTGTAAAAGCACTAATATTTAGGAGCCTGTAATGATTATGGCTGTTAGTAAAATTGCCTTTTTAGCTGTTATTTTTATCCGAATGTTTTAGGGCTCAAGTTTTTGCTTTCGTAAACCATTAATATACGCTCATAAAATACTTACAAATCTTATGTCTAGAAATGGCTTTATTATCTAGAAAAATAACACAGATTATTTATTGAATTCAGTTGCAACATTTCTTGAATTTGACAGGATACATAAAACCTATTATGTACAGTAAACAATTTGAACTGTATTTGGTTATTTATAGTTGGCTATATTTTGTTTTGAAGGTCAAGACTGAGTTGTTGGAGACTAAGGCTGGCTCAAACCTACCCACTATATAGGACTTTACCTTGCAGATATGTGATTTGATAGATATTTGAAAAGGCTGAAGAGGAAATAATACAATGGTAGTTGTTGCAGCCTGAAGGACACTCCAAAAAGATGTGTTCTGCTTGCCAATAAGCTCCTTGAATCTGCCATTCCATGCCTAGAAATAGTTTGTTTTATCCCGGCTCTCCAAAACCATTTCATACATACTCCAGAGTGATGGTGGGAAGAATTTGTTCCCGTCACTTCCCACTGCACCTCCGACATAGGTTTTCTCAAAGTACAGGAGCAGACCTGAAAAAAACGTGTGCACTCTTCCACTCTTAGCGCCACCTCTCTCTCTCCCTCCCCAATCTTTCCCCCACTCCCCCAACGCTAGCAATCACACTTGCTTTCTCACCCCTCCTAGAGCCAACTTAGAACTGACAGGTCAACTGATGGTGATTAAAAGGATTACAGACTGGACCGCATGCCCGGTGTCCCTACACTCGTAACTTGGACACTCAACACTTATAAGTATTGCCGAAAAATATATTGCCAAATATCACTCTCATCACTACAGAAAGTCATCATCAGAAAGAAAAATGTCACCTCCGCCTTCGGTAAACTGTTCTTTGCCATTGATATCGTACAAATAATCTATTACATCGTCACTTCTTTTAAGCCAATTTGATCCATTTGAAAAAAATTAACAGCACATTCTTTGAAAATACTGTGTTATACTACAACATCTTAGCTTACAGTGACTAGATCAACAGTTTCCGTACTATTAGACGGGGGAAAAACAGGTGAATGGTTGGTGGTTCAGTCCGTATTGATATACCAATCAAATCAAGGTTCGTAACTGAGTACAGATAGCTCACAAAGGAATTTATGATTCACTAGTAGCCCTGCCCATGACCTAAAACATTCAGAATGTCCATACTCACTCACACCAGAAGTAAAGAGGCTGTTCAGCAACGGCTGCTCTCTTTAAACAGTATTTTTCTTTATTCTCGTAAAAAGTAAAACACTTAAAATAGTTTTACAAACAGTTACCTGGGGTTGGGTTATGCTGACGCTGATAGTCTGTGGCTGAGGTGCAGGTGCCACAGGGGGAGCCCCAGGAGCTGCACCACCAGTCGTCGCCCCACCAGGTGCCGGGGCAGGGGCAGCACCAGCCGCGGGGGCTCCAAAAGCAGGAGCAAACGCCCCAGTGCCCGTAGGTGGCCGGAAAGTAGCCGGTGCAGCAGGTCTGGGTGTAGACTGAGGCGTTTGAGGTATGTTCAAAGTTATAGTGGATGGCAATAGAAAACTTGGTATCTGGATGGTGTTACCAGTCGTGTAATAAAGTTGAGCATGCGCTACCCCACACATCTGAAACATGTAAAATTATTTTTTATAATCAATAAAGGAAGAAGGAATGAATAAACAACTTACCCAAGACAAGAGTTCTAAACAGTCGAAAGCACACAAATTGTTCATAAAAATTAACTTTATATTTGGCCCCTACGAGGGGGCTTCTTTAGGAGGAGTAGAATCAACTACTTTCTTTCTACTGCTTTCTTCCTGAAAAAGCCCTCTTGATTCCTCAGACAAGTGAAGTTTTATCTACAAAATAAATTTAACTGTGTGGTTTGAGGATGCATTGCTAATTTAGGGACTCAAGTCTATCCTGGTTCGATTAAAAGCTTGGTTTATATTAATATTGAATTTAATTTGGGTTTTAATTTAATTTGTGTTGATTTCCTACTATGAAAACAATAGCAACAACATTGTGCCAACTATTAAGAGTTGGATGTTAAGTAGACGTTTCCCCATTCACTTCAAACGTTTAAACTGGCAAAATCACAAACCAAACCACACACCTAGACAATCATATTCATGAGCTTTTTATTACCTCTGGAAAGCTTATGACTTGTTAGCCTGTTGAAGGCTATAAGAAAAGGTTCTGAAAGAAAAATGTAGCCTATTAATATTTAGAATAAGTACTAAAAACAAATCCCAAATAAGATAGTTCCTGGTTTCCTAGATTTTCCCTGAATTAAAAGCAATAATCAAATACTTTTCTACAACATTTTCTAAACAAACTAAATATTAACTTATGAATTAATGTAACTAAAAAGTCTTACCTTCAGAATGATCACAATTGTTGGAAAGCATGTGGCACCTGAAACAATTGAGATTTATGTTTACACCTAAATTATAATTTTCTATTTCTTCAATCTGAATGCCCTCAACAAAATCCTTTAGGGGGATTTATAAGCATGAGAAGTGAAATAAATAAAAATACCCCCGCCGCAGCAAACCTGCAGACTAAGCGAATTTCCATTTGACTGATTGGATTTACACTGAAATGTCTACTTAAAAATTTAACATTTATTCCCGATTTAAATAGAATTAGTTTAACAAGTACTTAGGTTTGCTGCATATGGGAGGGTAAAATTGTTTTTTTTTTGTAAAATGTTAATAGTTAGTAAGAAATAAAAACATTTTCCAAATTTGATCAAAATATGATCATAAACAAGCAAACTACAACAGTTTACTTATTCTCCATAAGAATAACATGGGAATTTTAAATTTACAATTTTTTGGAATTTTCTCCGTAACCGTTAGGCGCATAATAACGCTTCAATATACTAAATTATTTGTTTTTTTAAGCTCTACAAAATGGTTTGGAAATAAATTGCAAAATTTTAAGTTTTTTGGGTCAAAAATGGGAAAAACCTATTTTTACCCCATAAAACCCCCCGTAAACACCCGTTCCCATGGTCCGATCATGCTGGATCGCGAACTCGTTCGAATAAACTTAGGTTTACACGTTTGTACCAAATTTCATCAAAATCGGATCATTTTTGCTTGAGTTATCGTGCTGACGGACACATATATATATAGTTAACATATTTTATTATTTTTACATATGATTATATTTTAATTTTGTTAGTTTAAAGAATGAGGTTATGGTAAAAATGACTTGACAATGGACTTAGTTCCGAAACATGTCGTCATGAAAAATAAAATAATTACTAAAAGGGTACTTTGTTATATATGTTTTAATTTTATTATATTAGTAGCCCTAAAAATGCAAGAAAATAATAATGAAATGGCTAACAACCAAAAGATAATTCATACCATTAAATACCTCAAACTCAAATCTGAAAAATTGAAAGAAGACATCACATTTAACAAAATTTGTATTTCCGAAAATATAATTCCAAATTACGTTCAGTTGAAAACCAAATCAAACACTCAAGCTGCAAGAAAAACATTGGAAACAGCAAGAAAAATATGGGTTAAGGAAGAGATTAATTACTTATATTCAAAACTTCATCAAGTTAATGAATCAATTAAATCATCTTACGAAGAAGCTAAGAATTTGTTCCATGAAGAAAGCATTGATGAAATGAATCACTACATAACAGAATGGATCAAACCATTAATAGATAGTAAAAAAGAAATACAGAAGAAAAAGATCAATAAACTTATTGAACTTCAAAAAGGTAAATTTAAAAAAATCAACCTTATTCATGATAACCAATTCAACAATGCAGTTCAAAACCTTACTAACATTCAATTTACACAAGAAGAAACTAATTTATTAGGTAAGTCTTTAAAATGTAATCTTTCTTTAGATCATAAGAACAGAAGCATAGAAAATGATCTAATTGATATGGAGGTAGCCATAAGAAAAACAGATACGCAAATCAGAGATCCAATCAGATTTAGTTTTACACACGAACTAAACAAAACTAAAAAGAATATATCTAACCCAAATACACTAAAAGAAACCAATAAAGACTTACATCTTATCAAATCTATTTCTAATAAATTAAAAGATGATAATTCAATGATAACAAAAGCGGATAAAAGTAATGCTGTTGTAATAATCAACAGAAATGATTATGAAACAAAAGTAGACACTTTTTTGAAAGATAACAAATTTAAAGTCCTAACCAAAGATCCAACCATTGAATATTCAAAAACAATTAATAGTAAAATAATGAAATGTAAAAGTCTAACGAAACTAGAACAAAACATGCTAAAATCAAATAACTCAAAAGCCCCAATACTAAGAGGACAACCAAAAACGCACAAAACTAATATACCTATCCGACCTGTAGTAAATTTTCAAAATGCTCCTTCCTATAAACTATCAAAATTTTTGGACAACAAAATAAAAAATAGTATCAATATGGATAATGGGTATAATGTTAAAAATACTTATGATTTCATTGAAAGAATAAAAGATATAGACATTCCAGAGAACTCTTTACTGATCTCATTTGATGTTTGTAACATGTACACAAATATCCCAACAAAGGAAACATTAAATATTCTAAGAAAAGAACTAATTGGGAAAAATATATTAAACAAAAAAGAAATTGAAGATATTATTCAGCTTACACAATTGACACTGAAACAAAACTATTTCAGCTACAATTCCTCTTTCTATTTGCAAGAAGATGGTGTACCAATGGGTTCCCCTCTATCTGGAATAATGGCAGATATATTCATGAAAGAAATGGAAACTACCAAAATAATGAATGATTGTAACCCATTTAAAGATAAAATCCAATACTGGTACAGATATGTAGACGATATAATTTGTTTATTCAAAGGAAATGAAAATGAAGCTAATAATCTACTAAAATATATTAATAACCTATCTCCAAAAATACAATTTACAGGAGAGGTTCAAAAAGAACAAATAAATTTTCTAGATATTACAATCTCAAAAAATAACAACAGACATACATTTAACATATTTAGAAAACCTACGACCACAGACATCATTATTCCATACTATTCTAATCATCCTTGGAGTCATAAAATCGCTACTTTCCATTCACTTATCCACAGACTTATTAATATTCCCTTGAATAAAGAAAATTTCAAAAAAGAGAAAAATACCATTAAATACTTAGCAGAGAAAAATGGCTACAGGGCAAAAATGATAGACAATATGATAAAGAAGAAATTGAAAAACAAATTACAAAAGCAAAATAAAACGACGGAAAATGAAGAGAAAAAGAAATATATATGTATACCTTATAACAAATATATGACTAAAGCAGTAAGAAATACGTTTAAAAATTCAGATATAAGGGTAAGTTACAGAACTAAGAACAATATTTTCCAATTAATCAATAAAAAAATTAAACACACAGAAGATAATGAAGACGAAAAGTACAACAAATCAGGAATCTATAAGATAAACTGTAGTGACTGTAGCAAGTATTATATAGGTCAAACATCTCGAACTTTTAAAACAAGATTCAAGGAACATCTACAAGCATTGAAATCAAAAAATCAGACATCAATGAAGTCGAACTTCGCCGACCATATAATGAACACAGACCACAGTTATAAAAACATGAAAGACAATCTAACTATTTTAGAATTTGAAAAAGAACGTGAGAAACTTAATGTGAAAGAAGAGCTAAATATTTATATACACAACAAAAAGGACCCCAACAACATACTCAACACAATGATTCCAAAATTAAACCAACCTATCTACGATAAAATTGAAAAACTAAGGAAAGAAAGAAAAACATTCATATAGTATAATGAAAAAAATTAATACCAAAATGTATTAAGATTTAGTTAACATATTTTATTATTTTTACATATGATTATATTTTAATTTTGTTAGTTTAAAGAATGAGGTTATGGTAAAAATGACTTGACAATGGACTTAGTTCCGAAACATGTCGTCATGAAAAATAAAATAATTACTAAAAGGGTACTTTGTTATATATGTTTTAATTTTAATATATATATATATATGAATTTGAACGGATGGTGTTTTTGGCCTCTAGGGACCTCAAAACGAAAAAAAAAATCGGTCCCGCGTCCAGGTCTTACCATGAGTACTACGGTAATAGCTTATTCCCTATATGGGAAATTCGCTAAAAAATAAATTAACCCATGATTCATCATGGAATTATGAAGTTAATAGTTGTACACATTTACTGAAACTATTACGTCTACTATGAAAGTTGAGGAAACTATATAACAGGTGTAAACTATAACACAGTCAGAGGTCAAACTATATAAAAACATAAAAAAGGTGTAAGGGCAAATATAGAATTACAATAATTTTCAAATTACAATTAAAACAATTTTCCATTGAATGAAACCAAATAAGAGTTTTCATATGAATCTCATTAGTTTATAATTTTAATTACACAAAATCCAATTGAACATACCTAGAAGTACCCAGATGGACCATAAATGTTTGGGTATCAAACGGACAAACATGTTTCATGGAGAATTTCAAGTGGATATTTGATCAGAGACAACTGAACCATCATTGGCTGCAAGCTGACTAGCAAAACATAGACCCAGGACATGACTGTCAAATGAACAATACATAGGCCGTTCTAGGTATTTGTCAATGACAAAGAACAATTAAACACAGTCATAGGATGTGGTAGTGAATTGTGTTAAAATGTATCAGAAAATAAAAACCCCCAAAGGACATCTAGTTTGCTGGTTGGTGTGACATACCTCACCATAACCTTGGGTTTTACCCGAAAAGCAAGACTAATGAATCAATTGCAATTAAACCTGATTGCTTACTGCTTACAACACAGACATAATTGAAATGATAGTTATTTTTCAATTGGATCGATTTTTACTTTAGCTCTTTATTTTCATTCCATGATTTGGACACCATATTGGAAAAAAACTTGACATATTCAGTGTGTATTGGAGCTAAATTTAAATAATGAATTTGTCGTCATTCAAATGGTATGCAGTAAAAAAAAAAAGGTTTGCAGACAGTCAAACAATTTCTTACAAAGCTCAATTTTGAAAATGTGTAATTCTTAACTAACAACACAGTCACAAATAATGTACACAATTGTTAGCTCAGTTGTACAAGAGATAATAAGCTATGGTAATTAATTTTAGATGACACAGTTGTCTTTAATATTGTGTCCAACATTGAATGTGAATAGTTCTAAATAAAATTGTACAACTTTCTTGAACGATTGGGTTTTTACTGCTGTGAAAAATTCTATGTAAAAAGTAAAACATGTTTGAAACGATCATGCGGAAAACCTGGGAGACTTCTTCAAATGTGAGTGAGTGAATGTAGAATTAGAACCAAAACAAAGTAAGTATAACATTAACAGGGCTTGAGTTAGTTTATACCCATAGATGCGACGGCGATTGCGTCGGTGCCCCTATGTTATTAAATAGCTTATATATTCATAACGGTCGATGTAAAGACCCTGAATTCTCTGCAGTGATCTAGAGGGATGTCTGTCGCATATATGCGCCTTTTGGTCTGTGGATATGATGATTACTGACGGTTATGATGGTTGGAAAATTTTTTTTACTTTGTTGTATCACTTGGCCATGGTCTGTGTGTACTGTTAACCAAGTGACACCTAGTCTATGTGCAATATTAAACTGTATACCTCGGTGCGTGGCAATGACCACAGCGTCGCAAATATGTGACAATCGGTGTCGAATGTTTTAAGCGCCTTTTTAAGGGTTCCGAGGACTGTTTAAGCAATCCACATGACAATACAGATGTTACCAGTAATATTAATAGCATGACTCTACTGCTGTAAATATAAGACACTTAATAGAGGGGTTTATATTTGCAAGAGTGTTTTAACGCCATTAGCAATTGCGATGTTTTAAGTAGGAAACAGAACTCTCTAAACCCTTGAATTGTTACTTAACAACATCGACCTTGAAGAAAAGTATCATTAACATTAATCGTGGCATCACTGATAATGTCACAAATGACATCTAGGTTGAGGATCAACATCACTAAGGATCGATCCAGCACCCTGTAGATCTTAAGGCACTCCAACTCAGCTACCCAGACAATCAAGTCAGTTTTGTTGCAAATCACTATAAAATATGAGTTTGAAATGTACTTTTTGTCCAGACAACAACACCTGTCAGTGGTAACAGTGCCATTGAGATCCGTGATGCCTTCATGAGATACGACTCCACAGCAGTGTTCCAAGGCTTGAACATGACTGTCCAGCAAGGAACAATGTGAGTCATATTTATCACTGCCCCACATCTGCATTGTGCACAATAGGTGGGCGTTATTTAACGTAATAGGATAAATAATACTATTACTGAAGAGTAACCTATTACCAGTGTAATAGGTTACTGAGAACACCCTATTATTTTTGTGTCGTCTGAATTGTTAGAATGAGCAAGTAAAATAACGCTGATCGTGTAATCCTATTTTAAAAGATCCTTATTTATTAGATACATAATAGACAAGCCTTTTTTTATATGAGCCTATTTATTTAGTTATGATAAATCTTTGCAGTTAAGAGCTAGGAATCCTACTGTTTTGTCAAACTAATGTATCTAATTATTTAAGGATCGGTTTTGGTTTAGAATAAATAGCAATATATTTAAAAGATAACTTGATGCTGAAAACCTTATTAAAGTCTCGCACATAATAATTTAACTCTATTTTCGTTCCCATGACCAATATATAACATGACAATAAAGGCACAATAGACTTGTAAAATGAAGTAAAATTGAAAAAAATAACCCTGTGATTGCAAGAGTACGACCGGCTGAAAGAGGAAGTAATAGGTGACAAAATAACAGGATTATTTCACCTGTTACCGAAAAGCTGAGGAATGTTCCTTACTATTAATGCAAAGTAACGTTATTTCCCATCTTTAGTGGACAATGTTACAGATGGAAACAATACCATTCCTAGATTCAACATAATCATAACGTGTTAGTCTTTATAGTATAATATTTTAAATGCATTCGCTTGAAAGCATGATAATACCTACACAAAAACTATTCATTTGAACTAAACAAAACATAAAAATAAAATCGTCCTAAATAAAATCAGGGATAAACTGTTGATAAAAATTACTCAGACCTAACTGAATGATAATGGGGAGCGAGCTGGCATCTATCTATATATTAATAGGCAAGCATGTTTCTTTAAAACCCTTTTTCTCAGCTCGTGTGCATCGTAGGGAAAATCTACGCATACTGTTAGAAAGCTATTTTCCTGTAGGTGTGCAGAATCCCTGTATTAATTAAAATAGGCTCAAAAATAAGCACAAAAAATGAATTTAAAATTTTGAAAAATTTAACATGGATATTATGAGTTGCCATGCTGGTGACGAAATAACAACGAAATATAAACAGAAAATCAAAACAAATGGAAGAAACTCCAATCACATGTTCTATTCAGTGTGGAATGAAAATAAAGAAGTCTGTACATTAAATATTTTTGGTCGAGTTTCGACCACTGGACGACCTCTAGTAGTGGTTAGAGCGCGGAACTTCAGTCCCTGAGGTCCTGGGTTCGATCCCCGCCAAGTCACCAATGGATTTTATCTAAGTGATAATGCCGCAACCACTAGGTCTAGCCTGAAGTAATGTGAAAAACAATCCCAGGCTCGTGCCTAGCGTTCTAGGGCAAAAAAAAAAACAAAAAACCGAATGATAAATGGCTGACCTATACTCCATGTAAACGGGGTTGAGTAAAGACATTTATTGTCATTCCCTGTATTTTAACAAGCACGGTATGTGTATCAAAGTGACAAACTTGTATTTATAGATATAACATTTTTGGATCTGAAATGTTTGATTTTATTTAATTTATTTACAAACTGCGATACACCTATACAAAAGTTTACAAAAAGGTAACAAAACAGTATCAATTACAAGTGTTGATGGTTCTTTTTTTTAGTTACGGATTGCTGGGTCCCAGTGGCTGTGGCAAGACTACCTTGCTTAACTGTATCACAGGCATCACAACTTTGCATGCCGGAACTATCTTTGTTAAATGTCAACACCAGAAGCAGATCGGCTACATGCCACAGGTATTTCTGGGAGAAAAAAAACAAATTTGAAATTAACATGATGAAAAAAAAAAAAAAACACTAATAAACTGGTTTTCAAAAGGAAACCAGGTAGGCATAATATACAGATGATTTTCGTTTTGAATGTCAGGCTTAAATTTGGTTTCTTCTGTATTTTACCTCTTATACTTCTGTTCAACCTATTCCACAGGTTTTAAATTCACAAAATTACCAAACTTGAACATTACTTCTTATATTTTGTGTTACATTCTTAACCAAATGTGTACAATTATGAAGATAATATTATAAAGTACGATTTACATTTTCAATGACTCAACAATGATATAATTACACAATGTGGATTTGTGAAAAGGAAACTGCATTGATGGAGAAGTTCACAATTTCTGAAGTGTTGCATTACTTCGGAAAAATTTACGAAATGGATTGTGATGAAGTGGATCAAAGAGCTAAACTTCTCCTGAACCTAGTTGATCTGTCATTGGGGCAGTTCTACGATTGCTACATTACATCCCTAAGGTAATACAATTGACTTCTCTTCCTATTTTGAATTATGAAACTTATTAGACGGTGAAATGGCAATCTCTTTTAAAACATAAACTACAATTGTACAAGGTATTAATGACAACTTACAACTACCCTTCTAGACGAGAACTACAATTACAGCTAATTTTTAGACTTCATAGTGCTGATATGTTGTGCGTGCCCCCCAAAAAAGCTGGTCATGGGACGCCTATGCTTGGGGATTGGATTACCGAATAGTTATGCGACGTCTCGGTGCCGAATCAGCCTACCGTAATATGAGCAGACCCAGTTGGAGGCGATTGTTGTGATTTGGTTAGCTTGAACTTAGCCTGATTTTTGTTTTGGTTAAGTTTGTTAGCCTGATATCAAAACTACTGTTGTCCATGTCTCTTATATTGTATGTATCTTAAAAATGTCTTATCTATATTTTCTAATCTATATCTCTTACAGTGGAGGACAGCTAAGAAGAGTATCACTACTAGTGGCACTAATTCACGACCCAGATTTATTAATATTAGATGAACCAACAGTAGGACTTGATCCTGTGACAAGATGCAGGTATGATGACTTCCCTCTTAATAAAAATTATAGTACGGCTTTCAATTCCTAAAATATCCGAATTGACTTTTGTTCTGTAAGCTATGGGAGATTAAAGTTAACCATTTCTGGGATGGATTTATGTATTTTTGTTATAGATGAGCATATTTTAAAACCCAATAAATTTTTTATTCATAAAAGATTTTTCAGATTTCATTTTCCTCACAAAACTGCATTGTAAACAATCTTAATTCACGTTTTGAATGTTTAAAACAGATAATACAATTTTTATATATAATTTGCAAAATGGTCTTGTCCCTGATAAATTTAATGAAATAATTTGGATGATTTTATTACGTTACTGAAACATAATAAAATGCTTTTTAAGGCAATCAAGTTTATTTTTCTGACTGGACTCGATTTGAATGTCATGATTAATAGTTGTTGCTGGAAAGGTAATGTAAAAAAGAAAGAATGAGGATTGAGGTTCATGTGAAGTTCTAATGCTTTGTAGCATTTTAGTCTGTGGAAATATTTCTTGAGGGCAGCAGAAGAACAAAACAAGACAATTCTAATCACAACACATTACATTGAAGAAGCAAGAAAATCCCACCAGGTGAGTGGACCTGGTTTGAAAATTATTAAATTTAATTAATGAGTAATGAAAAATATGAATGACTGTATTCTAATTGGAATAATAGATAGTGAACTAGTTATTGAGGAAAAGTACATATTATAAATATGTTAGAGGGAAAAATATCTACCCAATCATAAGAGAGATTCTATCGATGTAGAAGAAAGTTTTTTGTATGAGCTTGCTCAGAAGTTGTTAGATTAATCGTGTACGATATTTTTTTTAATTTAACCTCCTATTTTTCTTTGTGTGTCTAGGCATAATTTAGTGGTTAGTATAAGTTCCTAGGTATATATATTTTTTAAATCTACTGGGTTGGGGTACAACAATGCTGTTAAGTAAGTAAACAATGCCGTTATGTGAATCTTTTCAATTCGAAAAATAAACTGAAATGGCTACTTTAAAAACCGGTCGTAGGTAAAATAATATAATTACTTTACTTAACTAATTCTACCTTTATAGATCGGATTGATGAGGGGTGGAGTATTACTGGCTGAAAGTCCTCCAGAAAAACTTCTCCAAGAGTTCAAAAGCTCTTCATTGGAGGATGTGTTTCTTATACTGAGTCAACACCAAATGGAATCCCCTGTAAAAAAGGTGAAGTTTTATGTTTATCTGCATTATTATTGGTTCTATGACTAAAACGATAACGAGTAGATTGAGCACAATAAATAAACGGGTTAATACAAAACTTAAGTTATTAATTTTCTCACTAAGAGACCTTTCTGTTTTTTATTGAGGCCAGTTTTGTTAATAAGATTTTATTGCTCAAAAAATAATTGTTCATAACATTAGTAGCAATTTTAAAACCTCTAACTTCTTTTACTAGAGTTTGAAACTTTACTCTAAATTTTTTTTGTCCTAGGACGCTAGGCACGAGCCTGGGATTGTTTAGCACATAACTTCAAGTTAGACCTTGGGGTTGCGGCACTATCACTTAGATAAAATCCATTGGTGATTTGGCGGGATTTGAACCCGCAGCCTCAGAGACCAAAGTCCCGTGCCCTAACCACTAGACCAGCTCGTTTCCCACTCTTAAAAATAAGAATAAACTGATTTGCAGATAAAAACAAGTATCAACAAGTTTTATCACACATTAGAAATTAGAATATTGTGTAATTGGTTTCTTTAGGTATTTCCAAAATCAAAGACAGCACAACTTCCAAACTTCACAAGAAAAAACTACTTTTGTAACTTCAATAGGCTGTGTGCGCAGACGATGAAGAACTTTTACTGGATGAAAAGGAATGCATGGTATGATCCTATACTCTAATACAAGCTATGTGTGTTTGTAATATATATCTCAAAATCCAGAAGAAGGAGTTTGACTAAATTTTGAAATTATTATTTTGCTCCAAAAACCTGATTGGAACCAGCCACTACCTCAGGAAAATTTGTATTTCGCCACACAACTCATAATGGACAGTTTATAAATTTAACACTGGCCTCATGGGGAAACGTCTATGGTTTGTGATTTTTCGTAAATTATAGAATGTCTGTTTACGATATTATTTTAACGGTTAAATCCAATTAACACAACCGAGCAAGGCTCGGTTCCCCAAGTACTATTGTTTAAATATCATAAACTTTGAATTATAATAATATTAGTAATAATAATATTTAAAAAAAATTGGGTTATAGCATTGCCTATACACAAAGTAGACTTCTCATCCAATGTAAAAATTATTTGAATCCAAGAAAATAGATGAAGTTCAGGACCATCTCACCAGAGGGTACTAGTGTATTGGGTTGAATCGTTGACTATTGGATACTACAGATAGCACCATGTATTTGCTTCAAATTTTTACATTGGATGAAAAGATAACTTTGCGTATAACCCAATTTTTTTATTTTTTTTTATTATCATCATCAATTACAATGGGGACTTGACTAGTGAGTCTTTCAACCTAAATATGAATTAAGGATGAGTGTAGAATGGAGTGTGATGGCTTACTTTGTTACTGACTAATCAGCTGTTTCATTAGCCAGGACCATTCATTAAAAGAATTATGACCAGGATAGCTGGGTCCAGTTTCGGTGGCTTGTCTGATGGAATTTTCACGCTACCAGATAACATTTTGGCTTGGCTCACATAAAATTGATGAACCGAATTGAACACGTTCAGGCTTCAAAAACTCAGAACAGTGCAGAAAATAGTTTGGGGAATAATTTTAACAGTAATTTACAGGTTGTTGATATACATTCTTCTTCTTCCCGGAATGATGTCTTTCTTATTCTGCATGTTGCACACCAACAATCTTCGAGGCTTGCACATTGCCTTAGTTCCAGAGGATTTTTGCGCAAATCACATAAGTACAGAACCAAATTGTAGTACTGACTACAAAATCAGCTGCGCTTTCGAACAACTGATGAAGGATAAAGGCTTTATTGTGGTATGAATACTAAATTAACTTTTTCATACAAGATTTACTTTTCCGAATATATATATTTCTTTGTGTTGAATGATTTCATGGGTAATATTGGGAGAAGAAAATGCAGGATATGATCTTGTACATAATCGTTGTATCATTTCAATGTTTAAAAGTTTTATTAACTTTTTTCATTGGGAGGAATAATTTTCTTGTAACCTTATAAAAGTTTGTAAATTTAGATTATCAAATGTTTTGCAGACACTGTAGCTGAATGAAATTTTTAATTTTTCAATTCATAAATTGTTGGGAAATGGTTTACAAGGTGCTAATTGTGTTCAGGGCCGTACTAAGACTGGTTTTTCCGGACAATTTTACTGGGGCCCAGGCCCCACCAAACATATACTTCAAGGGGAGGGGGGCCCAACCTAATATTTGTACCGTGGCCTGCCAAAGCTGGGTACAACACTGACTGTGTTAGTGTATACACTAGCTTGGATCAGTTAAAAATTTGTGCAAATAGTTTCAAAAAGCTGTATTTATCAATGTTTGAAGCTGTAACAAATTTTCCTGATTTGAAAGGATTTTATATTCTTTAACTATCAACTAACACAATTTTTTGGCGAGATTCTTAGGATTTTTTTACTGAATCTCCCCTCTAATTGATGCTTATTGTATTCAGTCAATTGTGCCATTGGTCTGAAGGTAATCAGCTTTATACAACTTTTTCCGCAAACTGTACATAAAAGAATGACACACAGTAATTTATTTTAGAGACCTAGTAATAGAAAAATCTCAAAAATATGATTCATTTTTTGACTAACAGAACTTGAATTAGAAACGACTTAAACAGTAGTAAATTCAATATCTTTCACGTTTAGAGACCTGTATTGTAAAATCTCAAAATGACGAGACTATTGAAACAAAAACAACATATTCAAAATTGAACAAACCACTATACATTTCTGTTCTGTCTTGTCAGAGTGAGTATGCAGATCTAGAAACTGGCATGAGAGCAGTGGAAAGAGGTCACTCGCTAGCCGTTCTCTACTTCAGTCATAACTACACCTCGGCCCTGAACGACATCTTCTCTAGTTCCTTCCAAGATCCACCGACCAACGAGACTCTGAACGACTCTCAGATCCAAGTCACAATGGATATGACAGGTAACAGCTTCATACTTATATTTCTTTTTCTCTAACTTCCAAGATCCACCGACCAACGAGACTCTGAACGACTCTCAGATCCAAGTCACAATGGATATGACAGGTAACAGCTTCATACTTATATTTCTTTTTCTCTAACTTCCAAGATCCACCGACCAACGAGACTCTGAACGACTCTCAGATCCAAGTCACAATGGATATGACAGGTAACAGCTTCATACTTATATTTCTTTTTCTCTAACTTCCAAGATCCACCGACCAACGAGACTCTGAACGACTCTCAGATCCAAGTCACAATGGATATGACAGGTAACAGCTTCATACTTATATTTCTTTTTCTCTAACTTCTAAGATCCACCAACCAACGAGGCTCTAAATGACTCTCAAGTCCAAGGATTCTCATATAACAATGCATATAAGGTTCATCATACTTATATGTATTTTTTCCTTATCTGGGGCTGTAAAATTGGATCAAGAGATGAAAATTACACAATTTCTTGATTAGAATCTCTACCTTTTATTCTATACCAAAGTTTGAGATGTTTACTATTGTGAAAGCTCGACATTACAAATGTATTTAATTTCTTAAAAATAAATAACATCAATAAATAAATTATCAAATATATATGAGAAGACTGAATGTTCCTCTTTAATTTTAGGGCAGATTTTACAAATTGTTCGTTACTCTTCATAACACCAGAGGTGAAACAACAGTTGATAAAAGATCATTATTTCTAGTTCATGTTTTTAAAAAGATAATTAAGCAACAATAAATGATTAAAGAACAAGCCCCCCAACAACAACCCCCCCCCCCCATAATCCAGATAAAAACGTAATCTAGAACTGTCTTAGCTGATCTAAAAGGATAAAAATCCATAAGGGAGTATGTTTTGTTCATTCATCGCTTAATAAATGTGTTTGACTTCAGAGAAAATTAAAGCAAGGCAGGTGGTATCAGCGGTGGAGGAGACGTTCAATGATGTACAGACACAACTAATTAAAGGTTGTGGCTACAAGACAGCGGCTTATCAAAGTTTAGTCAGGGTAAGTCCCGGTAACAAGGGCTCTTCAGAAAGTAACAGAGGTTTCACATCTGCAGAAAGGCCATAATTGCCACCTTAGCATCGGAAAGTTCTCACACTCAGTATACAAACAGTAGCATCCGCATCACAGCTCTTGTACTTCATCTGCAGTAGTGTCATAATTAGTGTTGTTGCAAATCCCACCAGTTGTAAGGTGCGGTGCACTCGGTTATCATATTTTTGTTGGGGAAAAATCATAACCTTACCTATGTGGCCACTCAAACCTCAGTAGGTGTTTTGCCTCACCAACAACCAGTCGCCACCTCTCTCTGTCTTCCATCCATTCTGTCTCTGCTCTTAAATTCCCTATGTCTCTTCGCACCTGGTCCTGCCATCTTAGTCAAGGTCGTCATTGGTCATATTCCCCGAGGGAGATTTTTTGACACCATCTTCTTCTCTTCTCTTCAAATGACTCAGTCTCCTACTTTTTATTTGTGCTATTATGTCTGGGTCTATATAGATTTCCCTTAATTCTTTTTTTGTTCTGATTCTCCACACACCATTTTCGTTGATGGGTTGGCATAAGCCAATTGAATTTTTTTTCAAATTTATTGTGATGTTTTAAATGAGTGAAGAGTGAAGGCTGAGTAAGACAGAAGAATGCTCTGATGCTAAGATGGTGGTGATAGCTCCACCCCAAGAAGTGCTAATGCAATACGTCTGTTACTTTTTGGACGGCCCTTGTAAATAAGTTTTAAAATAGCTTGCAGTGTCTCTTGTTGAGCATTTTAGATTTAGGCTAACCATTGTTTTTTTTTAACTGTACATTGCCAGTGAGTTTTAAAATTGTATATTTGGCAAACCAAGATAAAAGGTTTACATTAGGAGTTTACCAACTGTGTGTTAAGCAGTTACAACATTCAGAGCAAGGGAAAAAGTTGTCTCGATGCACTGATCTGATACCCGTATAGATAGTAGTTGGACAAAAGGTTTGATAATCAATTCTACTTATTTATTTCTCATTACTAATCTTGAAAGTGACATGTTTTGAGGCCAAACTGTTACCAACTATGATGTAAGCTCTCCTTATTGTATCTGTGGTGAAAATTATCTATGAACATTTCCTTTGTTACCAACCACACAATTATTACCCAACAACAAAGTTTGATATCCTCAATTAGGCTAAATTTATTTTTGGTCAATCTAAAAATACATAAGTTCAAACAACAAAAACTTTCCAGGAACCAGTAGAAGTTTATGGAGCCGACTCTATAGACTTTGTTCAAAATGCTCTGCCAGGTTTCTTAATTCCGTAAGTAAATATCAGTTTAACTGCTACACTTGTAATTACTTTATAAAGTCAGGGCTATATTTCCTTAACAGAGGACACAGCGGCCACCGGGAACTTCAGCTTGGGGGCTTCACTTCGGGACACACATCATATTTTAAAAGCGCCTTCAACAAATGTAAGATCAAAAATTTAAAAATTGCTGCATTGTAAAAGACTATTATGGAGTATCTGTAATCCAATAAGATGTTCAAGATTACTCCTAGACCTCAGGAGACATTCATGTTTTTCCCACGATTGTGGGTGATTTTTACAATTTAGCTGTGGTTGACGGAAACATTTTGATGATATCTACACAACCACGGATTAAATTCACCATTTCAGATCTCAGGTGACTAGTAATGGACTATTTCATAATACAGAGAGAAGAAGAGGTCTAATATGACTCTTTCACAGGTTGGTGTTTTTCATGGCTACTTCATACACGTCTACAGCAGTAGCATCGGAAAAGAATACAGGAGTTTTCCAGCGAAGCCTTGTTTCTGGTAAGTACTGCTGTGGCTGGCAATTTTGTTACAAATAAGGTCACATTACCAAGAACCACAAACTTTGCCGAAGCTAGCAATAATGCCAAAGTTAGTGATATAGATGTGCAGACGTTGAAGATTCTAGCTTTATGATTTTCCTAATGTCAACGAATGTTGCTGCAAAAATCGGGGATGTTGCCAGAAATTTCTTTGAATTAAGTGACGATATTGTTAACGTCAAAAAAGGAATATCACAAGGATCAACAAAATTAATGTTGCTGCCACTAGTGGAGAACCTGGCAATGATACCACAAATGTTGACAAACGTACTGTAGTAATATTACTGCAAAAGGAGAACCTGGCAATGATACCACAAATGTTGACAAACGTACTGTAGTAATATTACTGCAAAAGGAGAACCTGGCAATGATACCACAAATGTTGACAAAGGTACTGTAGTAATATTACTGCAAACTTTGTGGAAGTTAGATAGGCTATATCACCACGAACAAAAGGGAAGCTTTTAATACACTTAAATGTTCAAGCAACATTGCTATCGTCTCCTGTGATTTCTGCAACATCATAAATATCTCTCGTGGTTGTGGCCAAAAACCTTTTGTGCAACGATCAATTATTAATAAAGTCCGCTTTTTCTGAATTCATGCTAATCTGAACAGGGTTTAGTCCGAGTTAGTTTAGTATAGCAGGGCTCACGCATATGTTCGATTGTTTGGTATACACAGAACATTTCATTGCTAACTGCAATAACTCATTCCTTTCTAAATCAAGTTTCACCTGAATATACTCTAATACTGATTCTAAGAATATGTATAACAATAACGAATAAAGATGTATTTTTTATAAAATAAATCCTATCACAAGCTCAAAAACAAAAACTGACGTGGAAAATAAAAATAAAAGATATGCGGTACAATTCTGAAAGTTTTGCAGGTGTAACCAAGCTGGAGATGAATCTAGCACACACAGTAATCCAACTGTTGGTGTTGCTGGTGCAGAACTGTGTGTTGATGGTGATCATTTACACCAACATTCACAACTTTATGCGAGGCAGCATACTGTTGGCATCTTTCCTTGTCATATTGGCAGAACTCCAGGGGATGTTATATGGTTAGTAACCATTTAAGGGATGGAAGAGACTAAAACATGAATTCTTTGTTCTGTGCTACTTTTATTGCAAAATATGTTATGATTATTGTATTGAGGATAAAGAACTGTAACTGCCATATCAGTTTAAATGTGTTTTTGTGTTCTTTAAACTTCCTGGGACTATTTCAGGTTAGTTGTCTATACTTCCTATCTCCTTGACCAGTTTTAAAACGAAGTTACCTTTTCCTTTTCAAAGATTATTGAACGATGTTTTGTTAATTTTTAGTCGGAGCTGGATGGCGAAATTGCTGATTTTAGACACACTTTTTTTATCAAATTAAATGGAGCAATATTTGATAGAGTTACAAGCGTAAACAAAAACAGTAAATAATGGACTAGGCAAAAGACATATAAGCTTGTCAAAATATATCAAGTCTGTCAACATTAAAATTCTTTATGGATACTGTTTTTGTTGTTTTACCTTATTATTTTGTAAGTATTAATTTAAAACATATAAAGTAATGTTAAATCATAACAAAATTTTCCTCAGTGACTGTTTGGTTCATGAGAGATTTCAAAAGATTTTTTCCCTTTGATAATACATGGCTACTTTTCTACAGGTATTTTTCTGGCTTCTATTATAAAGAAGGAGAACCACCTCACGAACACAACAGTGGGAACAATTATGACACTTTTTCTCACCTCAGGTAAAGATGTATACGTGTATTAATTTTTAAAAATTTTAGTAATTTTGGATTTATTAAATTTTTTGAATGATGATATAAATACCTCCTGATTAACAACAGATCAACTAATGAACTACTACTCTATTTATTAAGTTTTAGTACTTAATGATTTTTTTTTTTAAGTTTTGTGTTGGCAAGTAACATAGGCCTAAGGTAAGCAACTGACAACTCTAAGAACATCAGTTTTAAAAACTGCCATTGCCATTTTATTACTTACAACTGAAGTCCAGTAATGGGCAAAATATCGATTTGTTGTTAACTTTTAATGTAGATCAACTGCCATAAACTCATTCCTCATGTTGATTTTTGTATCCGTCCTGTCTTTCTTAATGAATTCCTAACTAAACCAAATCCTTTTTAATATAACAAATATTCTTTTACATTTTAGGGTATCTAAGTTGCACAGCTTACTTGTTATAGGAATGATATGGCCAATAGAAGGCATGGTTCCTGCACTCAAGTTCCTTGTTGACTACTCTCCCCTGACAATCGCAGTCGAGGCTTTCCGCAGCGTCTCCATCCGAGGCTGGGGTTTGGATAATCCCAGAGTGTTTTCTGCGTTTCGATACAATTTGGCAACCATCGTAGTCTTGATGATAGCCAACATCTTGTCTGCCAAGAGAAGCCAAGCTCATTGAAATTTTATTCTTGTACTATAAAATAATAAAAATTGTTTAGTCTGTATGCCAAAACTAAAGAACTCATAAAAAATGTAAGCTCCAACTCAAACAATGAACAGACTTATAGTTACAGAAGCTAGCCTACTTTTAACTAAGTCAACTTCTTAACTGCCTATTGTATTTTTTTATGCACATTACAAAACAAGGTTTAAATCTATCTTCTCTCGTTAAACTTTTTAAATTTTCTTCAAAAGCCCTAATAATTTCATTTATATAAAGAAAGTGACTAAGTTATGTTTAAAAACTAAAAAATCTATAAGTATGTTCCATCCTTGACCATGTAAAGGTAAAAAGCCTTAGCTTTGATACAAGTTTTTTCCCCTTAAAGTAAAGCCTCTCGATGCCCTTTTCCTGCTAAACAAAGTGGTTCAACACAACCAGATAAGGTGACTAATATGAGAACATCAAACTAGGTACCGGTAACCTATCCATAACTACTGCACTCTTAGTACAGAAAAGTGCAGCTGATCTCAATTGTTTCAGTAACCTTGGAAACAAAATTAAAATTTACAAAATCTAAATACAAGGAGCCTTTCAAATTCATATATTAAAAGTTTGTTTCATCATAAAGTAAATATGGACAAAGAAGGAAAAACCTCAGGTTCTAAAATCACCAAAAGCATGGTCCCGAAGCCCACGAGGATGCCATACATAAATTTTGTGCAAGCCTTCCGCAACTCTCATCCAGGCGAGTTTGGTCCAAAAGAGATGATCAGTGAGGCGGCTGCGGCTTGGAGACAACTGTCCGACAGTGAGAAGAAGCCATTTGTAGATCTAGCGGCTACCCAGAAGGCCAAACAGCCTCGACAGAAGAAAGTCAAGCGGCTCAGAAGACGAAGAGCTGACAGTGAATACTCCTACTACTAAGTTGTTAAGGCTCTTATACCAAATTTTTAGTGAATATGCGTCTGATTTTGGGACATAATGTATGCAACAACTTTTAAAAATTAATATATTTTTTTTTCTTCAAAAGTGGTTTTATTTTTGTGTTGGAATTAGTCAAAACCAAAATGTAGGTCTTGGATGTATATCTGAGATGTATTACACATGTTGAGAATATTAGTGGAGATTTGACAGTAGTAGATCTACACAATATAGATAACGATCCCAGACAGCCATATTAAAATTGGGTAATGGATTGTGAAATCCTCTTTCTTTTTAGCCGTGTTCTCTTAGCTGTCCCGAAACATCAGTTATGTCGAATGTCACGAATACGGTGGAAAAAGCCACAGCAGCCACAGAAGAGTGCCATGTTAACACAAACAGACAGGCCGCTTCCCCGCAGAGCCTTTTTAATGGGTAGCAGAAGACCTCATGATGAGGTTAGTTGTTGTTCATCCGCTGAGTTAATCGTTAAAGCTAAGGGTCGCTGCAAGCTCTGGTAAGTATTCCTACCTGCAAGAGAGTCCAAGCAGCCTCGTCCGCTTATCTGCTAGAAATCCTAGCAATTCACTTTCCTGCTAGAGTAATCTAATCTGTCCCTAGATGGCGATGAGAGTACCTTAAACTGGTTCACTCTTTGCAAAAACTTTATGGTCCATTTGGGACAAGAATTGATCTCAGCATGGAACCACCTCCTGACCACTGGAACGTTCCCAGCACACTACTCAAGCTATCCATCACATGATTAGGCAAAATACACGACAGATTGTCATAGTTATAAGGAGCTGCATTTGCTAATTCCATTTGGCATCTTTTAAGGTGAAAGAAATATCCCAAAGTAACATAACACATATAACAATATTAAAAACACCTACCTCAATAACTGAGAATATTTTCTGCAGTCAAGTAGGCCTATTGATGGTTCAAGTTCTTTATATTCAGCTAAGTGCAGAACAGCCACACATCTGTCCACACTCCTGGTAACTATTCCACACACTGTACATGTCTGCCACACTCAACTGTATGGTGTTACAGCTGTGTGCGTGACATTGGTCCACACACGCCCAGTAGCATGCATCTCCTGTGTGGCGTGTAGGCTCTAATCCCTCCAGCCATATACCCATTGCCACGTCCTCTCCTTGGTATTCCACTGACAGTGTGTCCAACCTACAAAAATTAATTAATCCCAGTGACACATTTCTCTCTAATAAATTGGACTTAAGGTAAACGCACCAGTAGCTGACAGTATAAGAAACTATACGCACTTAATAATCCGTGGTTTTGAATAAATAGGAACTAAAGAGATATTACGGATTTTATGTGATTCTAAATTTAGTGTAGTTTTCAAATTTGTCATACAAAAAGGATTTTTTAAATATATTTTATAACATTTTTAAACTTAATTCAACCTTTGTACGTGTTCCAGTGGCTGACAGTGAAAAAAGTGCTTGTACCAGTAGCTGACTAGTTGCCCCAGTAGCTGACACTGGAACTAAATGTACTTTAGCTGCGAAACCTAAGGGTTTTATAATTTATAAGACGATTAAAATCTAACTTAATAATTAAATTATAAAATGATGTAAAATGTTGTTAAGAAAATTTATTTTACATATTTTAAAATAAAAATTATTTACATTAAAATATATATATTTAAAAAATATAAATTTTTTAAGATAATTTGACTTATAAATTTAAAAAATTAAAATCATTTTATAAAAATGTGAGATCACATAAATTATAAATAGCATCCAAATTTTGATGGGTAAAACCAATTTAACATTGTGCAAGTAGCAAATATCCCCTGTCAGCTAGTGGAACTTGTATGGTTTTTGTGTACCAAAGCCTGACATTGATATAATTTTAAATCCAAAACCCCTAACACCCCAATTTTATCATGAAATTGTCAACAAAGGTATAATTGATCAAAATAATGAGCCTAATCATTAATACTATTTAAGAAATTTAGCGAAATGACAAAAAACCAAACTTACTTTCTTAACAATTTCATTAAGGGAATCGACTAAATGTGATGTGTACAGACAGGGTCGCTTTCAAACCACCACCATTCCGCGAGTATGGGCTAAATTTCGCTGATTTGTTTGTAAACAAATCAAGAATAAACATATGTTCTTCTAACAATGCAATCATGTGTAAATATTTTTAAGAGACCACATTATAATGTTAAGAAACTCAAACTGTCAGCTTCTGGAGCACTGTCAGCTACTGGTGCATTTACCTTAAGTGCCAATCTTTACTGTTTTAAATTAACCATAAACCGAAAACCTAATACATCTAAACACTTTAAGGAAAGACACAGTTAACAGAAGAAAAACCAAAGAGTACTACATGAAAACAATCCATTATAAGCTATGACAAGGGGATCGAACTGGTCTAGTGGTATAGCACGACGCATTGGAGCTCGAGGTCCCAGTTTCAAAACCCGCCAATCACCAATAGATTTTATATATGTGATAATGCCGCTACCCTCTAGGACTAACCTGAAGTAATGGGTAAAACAGTTCCGGGGTAGAACCTAGCGTCCTAGTATGTTAAGGTGGGATATAAAAAAATTAATAAAAAGTTACAGGCTATGACATAAGTCATATTTTTAGCTAGGTAAGGATTTATGTAGATTTGTTTATTTTTGCTAGAACTGTCATGTTTTGTAAAAGTTGGTACTGGTTATAAAATATACAACTAGGCCTAAAAAAAGGATGTTTTTTTGGGAATTAATTTTGCATACCAACAATATGCTTTATTGGTTTTTGGCTCTCAGAATAAAACTACAGCTATGATAATTCGACTAAACAAGATTACCTGTATCTCAACCAATCTAGAGCCTTCTCAGACAGGACATATCCAGCACCAGTTGGGAACGGAGGGTAAATTTCTTCCTTGTAATTGAACGTTTCCTGCCATTTCCCGCCTCTCTTTACAGGCCAGTCAATTCGAAAACAAGACCACCAATCCCACTGGATCTGCTTCTCTATTTCTCGTTGTACTTTCAAAATGTCAACAAAAACATCATCATCAGTCTTCAAAACATAGTTGACATTATAATTCTTAAAGAGCCTGAAACAAAGAATTTCCCTGCATGTTTTGGTTTTGTAAAATATAAAGAAGGCCTACCATTCCAAACATACCTAAACATATTTAGTCTATTTGGACTTTTAAATTAGAGACACCTAAATAAAATTATGAAAATGATATTCTACTAACTTTCCTGGAAATTTTAATCAAATTTGTTGATTTAACTTTTAGCGTTGACTTGCATTTCCACTAATCCATTTTCCTTCATTTTAGTTGTGTTCATTCAACTTACCACTTATAGAAAAGAAACATTTTCTGCGGTAGATTTCTGTAAACATCAACCATGTCAAGGAATAGAATGTCACCATGTTCAACAGACTCTCTTTGTAACTGTGTGTATACTTTTTCAACATATTTATTCCAGTCTTCTGTTCTTTCCTTTGTTTTATTTATTTTTTTCTCAAGTCCTGGAATATCTGAAAAATATTAAGGAATTAAGAGGGTTATTGACAATTAAAAAAAATAGTACCTGGAGACCGAGCTTTGCTCGGGGAAAATCATTCCCCCACTCTGCGATGCCAGCCTTTACTACTTCCTTCACCATTTCCTACGTTATTGTTTCCCTCCCTTCTCATAGCATTTAAGTATTAGAGATGCATTAATCTAACTGACACAAACGGTTCCTACACTCTGCGATGCTAAACTTTACTACTTCCTACGTCGTGGACATGTTGTCATCTCTTTCCATTGCATTTTAGTATTTTAAATACATTAATCTAATTGCCAACAACATTTCCCACACTCCGCACTGCTAGCATTTACTAATTCCTATGTCTTGGACATCTTTCCATCCCATCTCATAGCATTTCAGTATTTCACTTTCAGATACAGAAATCGAACTGTTACAATTGGTTTCCAGTTCCCAGACTCCACAGTGCTCGCCTTTACTACTTCATTCACCTCTTCCACAATCAGGTCTCGGACCTGTTTCCCTCCCTTCCCATTGCATTTTAAGATTGTGGATACCTTAATCTAATCGTCATAAACAGTTCCCACACTCCGGACCGCTCACCTTTACTGCTTCCATCACGACTTCCTACGTCACGGACCTGTTTCCCTCCCTTCCCATAGCATTTTAGGATAACAGATACCTTAATCTAATCGTCATAAACAGTTCCCACACTCCGGACTACTCACCTTTACTACTTCCTTCACCGCTTCCTTCGTCGCGGACCATGTTTCCCTCCCTTCCCATAGCATTTTAGGATAACAGATACCTTAATCTAATCGTCGTTAACAGTTCCCACACTCCGGACTACTCGCCTTTACTAATTCCTTCGCCACTTCCTACGCCGCGGACCTGTTTCCCTCCCTTCCCATAGCATTTTAGGATTGTAGATACCTTAATCTAATCGTCATAAACATTTCCCACACTCCGGACTACTTACCTTTACTACTTCCTTCACCATTTCCTACGTCGCGGACCTGTTTCCCTCCCTTCCCATAGCATTTTAGGATTGTAGATACCTTAATCTAATCGTCATAAACAGTTACCACACTCCGGACTACTCGCCTTTACTACTTCCTGCACCACTTCCTACGCCGCGGACCTGTTTTCCTCCCTTCCCATAGCATTTTAGGATAACAGATACCTTAATCTAATCATCATTAACAGTTCCCACACTCCGGACTACTCACCTTTACTACTTCCTTCACCGCTTCCTTCGTCGCGGACCATGTTTCCCTCCCTTCCCATAGCATTTTAGGATAACAGATACCTTAATCTAATCGTCATTAATAGTTCCCACACTCCGGACTACTCGCCTTTACTACTTCCTTCACCACTTCCTACGCCGCGGACCTGTTTTCCTCCCTTCCCATAGCATTTTAGGATTGTAGATACCTTAATCTAATCGTCATAAACATTTCCCACACTCCGGACTACTTACCTTTACTACTTCCTTCACCATTTCCTACGTCGCGGACCTGTTTCCCTCCCTTCCCATAGCATTTTAGGATTGTAGATACATTAATCTAATCGTCATAAACAGTTACCACACTCCGGACTAATATTTACCACAAAACTAATAACAACAATTAAACGAAATAATCTGCTTGGAATAATTCAGTAAGGCCACCAGAAATTATGCGAATCGGTGTATTGTTAATCAACGCTTAATGGTATTCATCGGACTCCTTTTCTTTTGTACTGTCTTTTGTAAATAGGCCATATGTGCATGCGCAAGCTGAGGTGCCCGTGGGTACAGAACGTCACGTTATGTCTTAAAATGTAAACAAAATGACAATAATGGCGGAATGTTTTCTCATAAGGCCCATGTTAAATTTTCAAAAGTTTGTACTCATATTATGGCGATAATAGATTTTTCCTGGCTATACCACTGGTCTAGAACTTATTTTTGACACAGAACTTAGTTATTCCGTAAATATAAACGTTTTTGTTAGAGCCGATTCCCAGATCGAGTTGACAAGTATTCAAACTTTACTCGTATTATATATAGGATTGATCCAAATTTAGTTAAAGCATGTTGCGACTGATCCACACCAGAACAAACATTTTTGAATTTCTGTTCCTATAGGACATGCTTTGTACTACAGTACTATACATTGGGGAACGAGCTGGTCTATTGGTGGTTCAAATCCCGCCAATCACCAATGGATTTAATTTATGTGATATTGGCTTGACCTTTTAGGACTACTTTTTAGCTTTTAGGATGTGAAGGCAGGATAAAAAGTGTACAATTGGCTGATGTAATCTTATCAAGACTCAGTCATTTTTGATGTTATAAAATTTTTGCTTTGAGTTGTTTGTTCATAAAACCTAAATTTAGAAATTGAACATGAAAGAAAAAAAAACTTTTAATAATTTAAAGTATTAAGAGTAATACTGATAATAGTTTCAAATTGGCCAAAATACCTTTAATTGTGAAGCCAAATGAAGACAATACACAATACTTTTCCACACTAACTTCAATAGAACTCTTAGTGACTACATTTGAAATTGTAAACAGATTTCCATGTTTCCAAATGGTTGATTGTTCACAATCAAAATAATCATCTTGGATGGATCCTTTTTCCACCAAGACCATCCCTTCAAATCCTTGTGCCAAATGAAGTGGATTCGATAGCTTCTTATATACGTATCCTGAAATACAAAAAGTAAAAAGACCAATTAGTAAAGGTACTTTTGGAAAAACTTGTAGAGAAAATCAGCTGACAGAAAAAATACTGAGAAATTTGCTGAAAAGTGCCCGTTTGGGCTATTTAAGATTCTTTGTGGCCCATGTTTTTTCCCCTAAAAATAAAAGTAAAGTTAAGCATTTTTTCGCACAATTAATTATTGTTCCCAGACAAATAAGAGCAAGAAAATGTAAAAAAATTAAAATTAACTCAACTAAGCCCATTTATGTCACAGGTAACAGTAAGTTAACTGTAGAATAAAATTATGACGGAAAGATTTTCAATTATATTCTTAGATACTTACCCCTATTATTTTTATCGTCTCGGATCAAATCGCCATGAAAAGTGACTGATGCAATTTTAGTTGCTGGGTGAGTTAGATTTAAGTTAAAATTGTTTTGAGAGATATAATGAAGGGCAATCCTTATTATTTTTTCCTTTTCCGAAGCTAGTGCAGACCGTTGTATTCCCAGAGTCTTAATTATCACAGGATGATGAACTGTGAATATAAATCCACGACCAAGTTGGGCTGGTTTAGCTTCCATCCTCAAAGAGTTTACTTGTAGATCAGTGTTTTCTTGAACATCTATCAATTAAAAAGTATTTAGGCAGTTAAAAAAAAATAGCATTCAAACATCATAACATTTTCTGTCCATTTTCTCAGTTACAAAGAGTTCAAATCGATCTTTGCTATGAGAATTAAGTTTGAAGATGATTGTCACTCGTAAATCTAGTTTGATTGAAGCACAATTGTTTTATTTTAATTTTAGACGTAAAGATATATTTTGTTTGACATGACTAATGCAAATTTGTATTTGTTACTTTGGTCGAATAAACGAGTTACTGAGTTATTGAGTAGAAACAGCTTTTGATATTTTACCAGATAACAACCAGGACAGGACTTCCAATTTTGGTTCCTTATGCCCGTATTTAAGCCTATGTTAATCCAGGAGGGAGGGGGGCAATGTCCCGATTATTCCCTGACCTAAGGTGGCAACCCTAATTTAGCCTAGAACTTAACTTAATTTTAGGCCTAGGCCTAAGCTTACTGAACAAATTTTAAATGTTGGAAACTCACGTTTAGGAAGTGAAATATTTAGGCTCTCACATGAATATTCCGATTTGCGATTTTCTGGGTGGATATTGCACATGCTTGAACCAACTATAAATTTGTATTTTAATACTTTTGGGACACTCTGAATCCATGTATCTCTGAGACTCTTGCGATGCTCAAAATGTTCAGGACTTGATGGTATTGCGATAAATAGAACAATGTTTTCCTTATTCCATTGTCCTGAAAAACATGATCATATAAGAAACTAAGTTAACTTAGTTGGATTTTCGATCAATGAAGACTAAACTTAGGCCTACCTACCTAACTTGTTGCTGATATGAATTCTCATAAGAAATTATTTCTGGTATAACTTAGTACCGTTAATCTGAAATGGTAACCTACAAATGAAGGTACTTTAAGCCAAATATGAATGGAGATGAGTGGCGCGATCTTGTAACTTAGTCTTGTTAGTGACTATGGCCAACATGTTCCTTAGACACGGCTGTTTTTAGTCCATACAGACAATGGCAACTAAGGCAACTACAGTTTAAACGGAATCAAAATCACATTTTTGCCTCGTATTTAACGATTTGTTCTAATTCTCAGTATAGTACTGCGGATAGTCGTAGTAAGTTAACTTACTCACTAAGCCTAGTGCAGACAATCCACACTAGGGAGTATTCTTATTAAAGTAAATTAAAATTTGGTTAGCTAGCATCCTTGAAAATTGCTAGGAAAGCCCTTCTGAAGGCCTAGGCAGGCTACCCAAAGTTCTCAGCTTTGTCAAAAATCTTTTGCACTAATTAGTTAACAAGTTAGGTCAAGCAAGGCCTAAAAATAACAATTATTGAAAGAATAACTTATCCACAATCTAAATTAACAGCTTACGAATTAATTCAAAATGCTGGTAAATTAAAGCTGTGGATAAAACTACAAATGATATAAAAAATATAAGTTTCCGGAGATTTGAAAATTTCATAATATAACCTCTGTTCTTTCACATGATTTAAATTCAAGAATTCAAGAATCAATCAAGACATTGACATAAACAAAAACAAAAAAACATAACATAAACAAAAACAACTTGAAGGACTGAAGTGAAGTGAACGAAACGAACTGATTCAATGAACTGAACTCATAACTCCAATCAAGGCCCTCCAATCCACGCTCCTCTATTCTTTTCTATTTGTGACTCCAGTCCAGTCCAGCCAGAACAGAATCGTCATCGTCGGGGCCGCTGTCGTGTAAACAAAAGCAAACGAAAATATTAGCGTGGTGGTGGTGTAAAAAAGAAGCATGTGTGTTTTATAACAACATAACCCAAAACCCAACCTTGTGTTGTAATATTCCAGAATTTTTCTTGAAATCAGATCCCTAGGGAATATCTTGTTCGATGGTATGTATTATCAATTAGTTAATTAACTGTTCCAAATCCTTTAACTCTAATCTCGAAATTCCTAGGAAGTTATAGGTCTAAGCATTGTTTATCAGTCAATCTGCTGTCTTTAGTGTTTTTAAGACTTTAATTTGTTTTTATATTGAAGCCAAAAACGGTAAGTTACACATACTAGGCCTAGTTCACTAAATGAAAAGCCAAAGAAAAATCTGTGCGCCTGTTTGTGTTGTCGGTATCTATGAGACCTCTAATCAATTCATTTAACACGTTCAGTGCGGCATACCTTTAAACAGGCGCTCGTCAATGGCGGCAAGGCCCGGGCGAAGCCCCGCCGCGTAACTGAATCGGTGAACGCAATTGGCATTCAACTACATTATTTCAGTCTGACAAATATAAATAGAGCAGCGGTGATTGTGCTGCGTTAGCCCGAGAGTGGACGTAGTTCACTGAAACACCCAAAGGTAGCAGCACTGCCTGGATCCGTAGGCAGTGTCTTTGTAAAGTGGCTCGAAAACAGAAAATTGCCAGAACCGGGACAAAAGTATTGCCAGATGGGATTTTACAGGAAATTTAAGTACCAACCTACACCAGACTAAACTTATATTCTAAGCTTCAGGCTGGCAACGATTATAACGTTCCCCGGCCATGGCTGAGCTCACATTGAAGCAAGGTTGTTGGTATTGGAGAAGGACAATATTTCCCGCCCCTCGCCAGTGGTGCAGGTACAGAGGGTCGTGAATTCCCGCCCCTAGCACCGAATGTGTTAAGCTATTTATCCAGAACCTATTTTTTCAGAGGTGATTGGCATTTAGATTGTCAGATTTAGAGTTGCCAACTATGGGTTCTATATTCTAATAGGCCTAACTTACATGAAGCCATTGTATCATACAACAGGTCTATTGCCTAAAGACTTTGGTGAAGCTTGTGGTGGTCAATCTTAAACCAGGGTCAATAAAGTAATAACTGCCTGCTGATGTGCGTATTATATGCTTAAATACTGTACAGCCAACCACAGTAAAAAAAAAACTTTGTTGACCCAGCTAAGCTAATGGTGCAGATTTTTCTTACGCCAATAGGCGTTGGTGGTGAGATATTTGTGCCATATCAACTTACCCTCTTGTTCATCCGTAATCATCGATGTATAATAACTCCCTGGATTGCACGCTCAGATTGAAGTAGGGCTCTGAAAACGGTCCATCGCTAGCACGCTCTGTCCGCCAGGAGTGGATTTAAAGGCATGCCTCGACCCTAGTGCCGAGCGTCGCGCCCGCTCTCTCCGCGTATTGCTATGTTAGTTTTGTGGAAATGTTACGAGTCAAAATTGATTGTAACAAACTTTAAAAAATAATTTAGTGTATATACGTTTTATAAGCAGATATAATTAATCTAAGTAGGCTACTTGTTCACACTTTACAGACTAACTTATGTATCAAAAATTTTTACTGAAGAAATTTAGTAATGTAAAAGAGTTTGATTTATTTATATTTGAACATTGGCCAGAACAAAATATCACAATAATTATTTGATCACAAGGATGTCATAATTTGCTGCTGTGGGCCTCAATTACTATTGAGAGACTTTGCAACATGTAAGAATTATACATTTTATTTATATTACGGTATGTTTCTTTGTCATAATGTGATTAACGTGTTTGAAAAATATATTATATGCCGTTAAATAAAAGGAGTGTATAGTATTTTATGCCAATATCTCCAATTCATTGGTTATTCTCAGTGAAGTAAAATAATTACAAAATATTTTCTCAGGTTAATATTAAATAAACTACTTTGAATCCAAAATTTATTCTTTGATTCTACAAATTAAAAAAAAAAACTATAGACTACGGTAAGCAATAAAATGCATATACATACGCTTGAAAATTAAGTTACCCATTCTTCGTAATGTAATGACATATTTTATGTAGGTAATATTAATGATAGGCCTAATTAAGTTCCAGAAACTCAGTATCTAAATCCCGTAAACTGATGCCGGTCAATCTCCTAGTGCCAATAGCGCACCAAGCGATTTTTGCCTATTTTCAATTGCTTAAAAATGATACAAGCAAGCTCCGTATAAAAAAAGTTCAAATAAAAAATCAAATTCATACTTTAATTTAAAACTTTGCCGCAGGAAATTTTTCCTGACCAAAAAATAAAAAAGTTCCTTGCTTACTACATTTTTCATGTTTTTAGTGGTGTTAAAAAATGATAATCAGCTTTAATTTGCCTAAATAAATAAAAAAAATATATTTTAAGGTTAAAACTACCTATAGTAATAAGCACTGTTTTTTCGAGAAAAATAACATATCAATTTAAAATTTTTATGTTAACAAATAAGCGTAGCAGAGAATGTATGTTTGAGTAAAACAGAGAGGTTAATTCGGCCCGTCCGCCTCAGTATCTCACCAATTTGAATGGTGGTTTGGACCGTTTTTCCACCACACAGCGCGCTATCCAGTTGAGTATTATACATCGATGCCCGTACCAGTAATACACAATTTGCTTCCAAAGTCATTAACCATACAGTAGGCCTAACTTACTCTATTGCTTTGATGACACTGGTTCTCTGAACTAAATCAGAATTGATAAATTTTATTGTTTGTTTTTTGTAACACACTGCATTTAATGAAAAAAGAGATTAACTTACCTAGACTCATAAAAAAAAAATACTAAAAGTCTTGTTTCTTTATTTTGCAGGGGAAGAATGCAAGAACTCGTAAATTCGCTCAGCAGCGCTTTGCTCAAATGAAAAAGATGATCAGTTCCAAAGATGCAAGAATGTAAGTAACTATTATATTTTATTTTATTTCATTTTTTTATATTCGTTACCATGCAAAAGTGTTTACATTTTACAAGTTAATGATATCAGTTAGTAGCATTAACCCTGCAGTGGTGACGTGATTTTGTGGTTAAATCAACTGGTGACGTCGGTCTGAAAGACCAACTTTTACATAAGTATTTTTTACATAGGCTAGACTAAATATTAAATAGTTATTTGTGTAACTAGTGGTGAAAGTGGCACTTTGCTGCACACGAGAGCAATGTTTACGCACTCGCCTGCGGCTCGTGCGGAATGATCTCGAGTGCAGCAAGGGCCTTTTTCACTCGTGTTACACATTATATTTTTCCTACAGTCACTATAAAGCATATAAATAATTAGTCTTTCAAACACTATACAACACGTTTTTAGGTTAGCTGGCAACACAAATGGTGGCCCTAGAGAAAGTAGTACCCGCGGTCCGTATAACTCCGCTATTTTTCCTCGGCAAGAAATGTGCTCCGCGTTTTAAGAATATAGTTCCGTATGTTTTTGTAATTTGAAGTGGTTTCCGCGCCTAAAAAAATGCTTTAAAAGGTATTTTCTTTTTTAATAAGATCGTAGGAATGTTTTAAAAACGTTTTTAAAAGAAAAGTCCAGAAAGTTCAGAAATACCAAAACTATAAACACAAAATAACAGGTTAAATCGTAGTTATAATAGTCAATCAGCTGCTCATAGTATTATTATCTTTAAGTGTTGCCAACCTATTTCCAAGCGTACACGGATTACGTGCATAATAGAACCACGCTGTTTTGTGTTGTTTCGTTGGAATCCTGATGTGCGGCAAAGTATAAACCGTACGACAAAGTATAAACCGTACGGCAAAGTATAAATATGCAGTAATTAGCAGCTTTCTGTACTATAAACAGTACAAGAAAGCCAACTTTGTCGGGTGACTGTAGGAAAATTAATGTTTTGAACAAAAATTCTAATAATACTAAGGTATTAGGAAGATATGTACATGGTAATACAAGTGAAAACACATTTAAAGTGAGGGAACAAAATTTATTGCATTGCATGTGTTGTTTTTTTTTTTCAAAACCTAAGAATTAACAGAAAAGTAATTTAATATATATCCCTACAATTTTTGTAATTATAAAGGGTTAATCTTAAAATCGTGGAAATCAAAAATGTGTTTATTTGTTTTTGAAAATTGGGGAAAATGGTTAATATTTGTTAAATATGCAAAGTCCCTTTTTTTTTTTTGTCGTCGGTTTGTGGGACCGTAAACCTATATTATTAAATGTTCTTAAAATTAGTAGTATAGTGATGTCAACAATGAAAAAGGGTTTTCTAAAACTTAAACAATAAAAGCCTAGGCCTACATAGTAGGCCTAATGTAATGATTGATTGATGTATTTCAATGTACAATGTATTTTGCCGTTAGGGGGAAATACATTTGCCAAAACGCATATGGTGACATCAGTGCACCAGTCTGAAAATTGTAATATTAAAAAAACCTATAGTGACGTCGGCGAACCAGACCGCTCACACTTTCGGTGACGTAGGTGCATGGGACCGTTGAAAGCTGCTGCGCACTACCACTTAACCTGAAAAATTCCATCCCAGCAGCTGAAGGCACATGAAGGGAGTATAACTAACTTGGAACGAAAAAGTTTTTAAAGAGACTTTTTTAAAATTAAAACTTATTAATAAATCAATTAATTTGTTGGTTGCAGAAAACCAGAACTTCGAGTTGTAAAGAAGAAAAAAGCAGATCCACATGAAATCAAAGTCAGAGAAGTGTAAGTATTATGTTAAAAAAAACTTTCTTGTTATTTGTTAGTAAAACACTGGAATTTTCTTGAAAATAAATGTTTAAATATGTTTTTTTTTATTTCACAGCTTTGTCAGTTTATTAATTGCTGATGAAATGAGGTGTATTTTTTATCCCAGTGCCGAGGTTTTGTAGTTTGTTATTTGAAACTGGTGCAAGCGGGAAATGTGTGTCTACCCATGCATATCCAGATTTAAAATATTTTGACCCCTTCCTCTTTGAAGTGTAGTGTTTTCCTCAATAAAATACCTCTGGTGTAAAAACTAAAACTTCAGTTAATTCACTGTTCAGTAATAAGGTTTTAACTGCAAAAAACTGTAAACCGATGTAAATCTATTGGCAACTTTGTGAAGTTTATGGGGAAAACATTGTCACTGAAGGGGGAGTGTGTCAGTGGGTCATAAAATTTAAAAATGGCTGAACTAGCATTCACGACGAAGAGCGAAGTGGAAGATCCAGCATAGTGACTGCCGTTCTTGTGAAAAAAGTCAGTCGATGCTGAAGTCCGTAAAACTTTACTTAACTCTCTAGGAGTTTTCTACAAATTTTTTGCACGAGATCATTACCGAAAAGCTTAGTTACTACAAGTTTTGTACCGAAAATCTTGACAGAGAGTCACAAAAATCGGCGGATGGCCGCAGCACTAACGTTTCTGGACGCTTAAGATAAAGATGATGGCTCATTACTCGATCGCCAAACTCTGCAGAACCTTAGAAGAGCGATACATAACAAGCTCAAAGATCCTGTTTATTCACGACAACCCACACGGCAATTGTCACTCGCAAAGTTCTTGAATCTTTTAAGTGGAAGTTGTTTCCTCATCCGCCGTACAGTCCCGACCTGGCACCGAGCGACTTTCACTTATTCTCATCAATGACAAAGTGGCTGACTATGCAGCGTTTTGATGACGACACACAGCTGTTATAAGAGGTAACCAAGGGGTTGAAGACGCAGACGCCCGTATTCTACGACGAAGGAATTTCCAAGCACGTCCAACACTACGACAAGTGCCTTAATTTGAATGTTGAAAAGTATTACTTTACTGTGGCTTTCTTTTGTTTATAATACAATTTTTTTTTCAAAACTTTGTTCACCCTTAATTCCAAAACGTAATCTACTTTCTGGATAGCTATCGTAGTAACAGTTTAAAGTCAAGAGTAATTTATTACACCAGATTGACAAATATGTTTGCATTGGCCAAGTCTTTACTATAATTACATTTCTTAAAACTTAAATTAAAAATATCATAAGCTGTTTAAAATGTAATTTACCCAGGCTTAGTGTACCTATGTGAATAGTTTCTCAAACTACGGTACTGGATAATTTAACAAATCTTAACTGACTAGTGTAGTGACTAGTGATGACTAGGAAAGATTTTTTAACAAATTACTAATACATTTCATCAGCCATTGAGCCATTGAAACTTCCCTACTTGATTTTATATTTTTTTACTCTCTACCATGTTAATAAAACCTTTATTGTTTCAGGCCCCAAGTGTCTTCTGCTTTGTTCTTCCAGTACAATACGCAACTTGGCCCACCCTACCATATACTGGTAGATACAAACTTTGTCAACTTCTCTATAAAAAACAAGCTTGATATCTTCCAAAGTACGATGGACTGCCTGTATGCAAAATGTAAGCATCACAAACTGGTTTTAGATGTTTTAAATAGGGAAGCCAGATATCTTTGAATTTTATCTGGATATATTTTACACTAAAAAATGTAAGGGAATATGAAGGTGCTGGTTTCTCGGTTAAAAAATAATCTTAGATCCTGGGAGAATGAAATTCTAGTTCTTTTTTGTTAGGTTTTTGTTCCTAGTTACATTTTTGTTTGGTTGGTCAGACTGTTTAATCCTCGATTTGATAATTAATTGTCTAGGTTGTTTAGAAGACCCAGATAAAAATCAACGAATGGTTTTGGTTGTGAACTAACAAAATGAATAGCTGTGTATAGTTAAGATCGTGCATTTTTAATATCCTTTTGTGTGTGTATGTTCATTTAGGTTAACCATTATTTAACATTTAGGTGTAAGTCATTTACTAGGTTAGGAATTTGACACTATTCAATGTACAATGTACAATTATTGAATAAAGATATTGAAATGAAAAAAAAAATGAAAACCATTAATTTTGGTAACATCCATACTTGCGGGAAACCCTAACTTGGGTTTATCTGGTAGAGTTTTCTCTACGATTACACAATCCTAACAAATTGTATGTTTAAACAAATCTGTAACAGCATTTTGCTTATTATGGCAATAGACCTACAATATCAACGCAAATTTCTAAGCTGTCTTATAAAAATACAAAAAATGTAAAATTTTTGTTTAGTGAAAGCCTAATGAACTGCACAGTAAGACAAACAATTTTATTCTTATGAGCTAAGTGTCTTAGATTATCTCTCATTTTCAGCTTCAGCTTGTGTTAAAAAAACCTCTGGTGTAAAAAAACACTTTAACTTAACTTTTCATTACTACTTAAGGATTTTTATTTATTAAAATGTGGTGTTTACCTAGGCATTCCGTACGTGACGGACTGTGTGATGGGAGAGTTAGAGAAGCTCGGGCCGAAGTATCGAGTGGCGTTGAGGATACTCAAAGACCCGAGGTTCGAGAGGCTTACTTGCACTCACAAGGGAACTTACGCTGACGACTGCATTGTACAGAGAGTCACTCAGGTATGTTAAAGAGAAAGTAACTGTTACAAGGTTAGACAAGTTAGCTTTTATACAAATTCAAATTTATGTTGTAGGTATGTTGAAAATGGGAGTGTTGCTGAAGGTCTAAGTCCCGGAAGGTCTAATTAGACCTTCGACACACATTTTGCAGTTTGTACTTGTTGCTGAGGGTCTAATCTGGTAGTATGTCGAAGGTCTAAGTCCCGGAAGGTCTAAGAGTACAGTCAATGCAAAAAACTCATCAACTGATACTGTTTTAGACCTTGCGGGATTAGACCTTGGGCACACAATGTATATTTTGTAAATAAATTATTATAAAATGAGAGTTGCTGAAGGTCTAATTCCCTGAAGGTCTAAGATTCGAGTGCCGGAAGGTCTAAGATTCGAGTCCCTGAAGGTCTAATTCCCTGAAGGTCTAAGATGTGGGCGGGCATTGCGTCGCCAGAGATGAAGGCTACACAAGCAGGCAATAACGCAACAACTTTTAGAGTTGTAATATTCTTAGTGATAGTTTTAATAACTCTCACGTCTTTTTTTTGCTAGCTCGTTATTACAAGTACGATGGAGATATAAAAAAAATCCTTATTTATATTATATCATTGATTATTGGATACTTTAATTTTTGTTATAGGCATAGTTGCTGGGCCATAACAGTTGCTATAGCTCAGAACAAACCATTGTGCAATCGGCATAAGTAAATTAAATAAGTTCGGCAGAAATAAGTTAAAGTTGGTGTTAAAAGAACATCGTTAGTTTCCTTGGTGTTTAGGATTCTGTTTTGTTTATTTCAGCTTATCTTAGCCAATAAATAGTTTCATCCATTGACTTTATACCACAGATGTTAATGACTAATTTCATATATATGTATGACCATTGATTAATCTAATCTTTATATTTGTGCTATAACTTATTTGTGAAGATTAATAATGTCACATGTTTTTAATAATGTTAAAATGATGGGTAAATAAATAGTGATTTAAATGTTGTACAGAAATTGACTATTCTTATTTTGACTATGATAATTGACAATTTAATAACACATATAGTCAATGTTTCATCTTACTAATATTATAAATCTAAAAGTTTGTGAATTTTTGCGTGCGTGCGTATAAGGTCGGTTCCGAGGCGATCGATGTGATTTTCCACCGTGGGTCCGAGGTCCCCGCTTGTTTCGAGGTCCTGGTGAGGGACCTCGGATCCAAATACAACAGAAAACGTGTTCGTTGCCAGAGAATAATTTTAATATCAATATTAAGTGATTCTGAGCGAGACCTTGGAACCCTAATGGAAAGTTAAAAACTTCTTAGTAGAATTTCCGATAGGAACGTAGCGATAGTTTTTACTTGTACACAGTGTGGCATCTATTTATCTATAATATTAAAACGAAACAGTGTTTTTTTATTTCACGATTCTGAATCAACCACTCGACGGATTTACATGATTTTTGTGTTGAAAGAAAGATAATTTTGAGAACTAGGGAATGTCGAAGCCATAATTTTAGTTTTGGGTCCCAGTTTTTTATAAATTAAGTTTTAATTTTTAAAAAGTCTAGCAGCCGACGCTAAGATTCTAAACTAGCTTTCGGCATAAAATAATTTGCTTAATATAACAGCTGTAAACATTCAGCTTTTGTGTCACAAATTCAGCATTTGGATAAAAATGTAAAGACATACTTAGCGTTGACTTATTTATACTATGTGTAATGCTAATCATTGATACGTTCAATTCTTCTGTAAGAGGATGACAGGATTAATTAAATATACATAGTAAAATACTAGGATGTTCAAAATATTTTTTAAAGCAATCTTTATAATCTTGATTTGTTTTAGAGCAATATAATTTGTTTTAACTAACAGCTGGTTAAATATAAACTATGGAACTATGAGGTTATTTTATTTACTCTTATTTTTTCATTGATTATATAGGAAATAAGTCCGATTAGTAGAGATAATTAGACCACAGTTTAAAATAGTTTGGACCAAAATTAATTAAACCACAGTACAAATTGAGGCTCTGTACACGAGCCTAATAAAAAAGGATAAATGCAAATTATTTTACTGCTCGACTTTTCAAGGAAAGAATAGAAAAATAACAATGTTTACATGTTTTATGAAATCGTGTTGAGTTGTGGTTACGTTTGGGGGTGCCTATATCAGCGCCCCCAAACATGAAAATATCACTTTTATTTAAACTATGAATATATTGTAGTTTAAATTAACTAATATGGGAAATTACGATGTACATTTATTCAATGAGGGTGGGTAATTATCAAGGATAGAACTGATAACGGTATGGATAATAAACATTGACAATTACGTCATTAGCTTTACTAGCGTGTTTACTTTTTATATTCCTGCTACATGTGACCAGTTCTTTTTTTCAAATGAATGTTATTTGAACCAAACAGCTGTTTCAAAACAAATTGTTATTGTTTTTACTTTTCTTTGTTTAGACTTCTTTATTTAGTAATTAATGCAGTGAAATTAATACAAAGGATAGGTGTGACGATTAGTTTGATGTTAGGACACCAAAGTTAAATTATGTGTACTGTGAATTTTATTGGATATTATCGTTTTATTTTAGGTCGTTTCTATTCAGACCTACTGGAAATTGTGTATAGTAAGTTAGTTGTATTGTGGCATTGTGGTGATAATAATTATGGAAGAGGCAGGTATGCTATAGAAGGTAGTATCGTTGACTAGGTCTATACACTTCTCAATTGACTATTACCTTTGACTATTGGATACAGAAGTTGTATAAGATAAAGAAGTGTTGTATTAATAGTCAAAGCTATTACTCTCTCTTCTGTATGCTACTTATAATCAGTGTGCGTCTGTGCGAATCGGCTGCAAATCTCACTTCAACGTTTTTCACATCGTAAAAATTGCAGATTGCTGTTTTATTGTAAAATTATCGGATTTAAAATGCATAAAAACATATTTGGTCGCACAACATTTGTTTAAAGATGATTTTTCACATTAAAACTAGGGATGGACGGGATTGAATTTTTAGTTCGGGACGGGACGGGACGGGATTTTTATTTCCTTCCCGATTTTCGGGACGGGACGGGACGGGATTTTTATTTCCTTCCCGATTTTCGGGACGGGACGGGACGGGATATTTTTCTGTGCATAAAAAGAATGTCTTGAGTATTGCAGTTACCTACCAAAAAAGACATACAAAATCAATTTTTACCGTTTGTGGCACTGATTTATAAAAAACCAAAAAATGGGTAACAATTTATGGGTCACTCCTTGTGACTCGCGGTCGAAATGACTGGCGGTCACGGTGCGATCGTCAAAATGACCGGCGGTCACGGTGCGGTCGTCAAAATGACCGCGGTCACAGGGTGATCGTCGGAATGACTCGCGGTAATGGGGTGATCGTCGGTATGACTCCGCGGTCACGGGGTGATCGTCGGTATGACTCCGCGGTCACGGGGTGATCGTCGGTATGACTCGCGGTCACGGCATGATCGTCGGTATGACTCGCGATCACAGCACGATTGTCGGCATGACTCCGCGGTCACAGCGCGATAGTCGGTATGACTCCGCGGTCACGGGGTGATCGTCGGTATGACTCGCGATCACGGCATGATCGTCGGTATGACTCGCGATCACGGCAAGATCGTCGGTATGACTCCGCGGTCACGGGGTGATCGTCGGTATTACTCGCGATCACGGCATGATCGTCGGTATGACTCGCGATCACAGCACGATCGTCGGCATGACTCCGCGGTCACGTCGTGATCGTCGGTATGCCTCGCGGTCACGGTGCGATCGTCGGTCCAATAATCGCGGTCACGGCGCGATCGTCTGCAGGACTCCACGGTCACGTCGTGATCGTCGGTATGACTCCGCGGTCACGGCGCGATCGTCGGCATGACTCCGCGGTGACGGCGCGATCGTCGGCATGACTCCGCGGTCACGGCGCGATAGTCGGTATGACTCGCCATCACGGCATGATCGTCGTTATGACTCCGCGGCCACGGCGCAATCGTCGAAATGACTTCGTCTCCTGCGTTCGCGGACCTATCGCTCGCAATAGCGGCGTCATCGGCACTCGCGAAGCGGCCAAATCGCCGACGATCGGACCAAATCCCGTCCCGAAAAATTCCCGAATCAAAGGTAATCCCGTCCCGATAATCGGGAATATTTTTTTCCCGAAAAATTCCCGAAATTTCGGGACCCGTCCATCCCTAATTAAAACTGCAAGAAACTTTGTCTTTTTTAAACTAGCTGATCTGAATTGTACACGGTTTTAACTGACTACTGAATTCCCGTACGTAGGACGGGCTAACACCTCGTACTTATTTAATACGCAAGCAGGATTTTTGTGACAATTACTCCTCCGAAACTACTGAACCGATTGACATGTTTTTGGTGTCATTGGAAAGAGGGTAACCTGAAGTTGTGCAGGAAACTTTCATTTTAGGGAAATAATGAGAGGTTGAGGCCCTGAAGCCCTTTAAAGTTTCGTATTTCTCCATAAGATTAACATGGGAAACAAATATTGTTATGAAACTCCAGCTGTTGTCAGAAATTAAAAGTGAAGAGAAGAACATATGTTAATTGTAAACAGTCAATAAGTTTGCTAATATTAGTTTGCCACAAACATTTACTTACTCGGTTGAAATAAAATAGTTACTATTTAAATTTGGGTTGGCGTAATTATTACAATGGGAAAAAACGAGAGAGCCTGGATAAATTGATATACTAAAAAGAAAACTGAATTAACACTGTGCTGCATTTCTTAGTAATCATTGAAAGAGACGATTTGCAAACTATGGAAACATAGGAAAGTCATAGAACACCACCAAGGGGAAGAAATAGAAATAATGTGTGTTATAAACACTAAAAAACAAAATCAGCTTTCGAAAAATGATAACATATTTACAAGAAATGTTGATTATATCGATCTGTTATCTACATCTTGAGTATTCCATAATCTTTGAGTCGAATCTTTTATAGTCATAAAAAATATGACTGTTTTTCGTTTTAAAATAACACCTGTAATACTTAGCAATTGCTCGATTTCGAGCAACAGGGACACTAGTTAATTATAAAACATGTTGTTGATATTGTATAAAATGTACAGTAAAATTCAAAAATTATATTCTCTACTTGTTAGTCTACTTATAGAGCTAACTGTACCCGTTGGATTGAATGAACAGTGGAGTGAATGAACAGGCAAATAATTTGTAAAATTACTTTTTGGAGTGAACCATCTTGGAGTGAATGAAACATATCGATAATTACAACTCAAGTTGTTGCGTTATTGCCTGCTTGTATAGCCTTCATCTATGGCGACGCAATGCCCGCCCGCATCTTAGACCTTCCGGGACTCGAATCTTAGACCTTCCGGGACTCGAATCTTAGATCTTACGGGAATCGTATCTTAGACCTTCCGGGACTCGAATCTTAGACCTTCAGGGAATTAGACCTTCAGGGACTCGAATCTTATACCTTCAGGGAATTAGACCTTCCGGGACTCGAACCTTAGACCTTCCGGGAATTAGACCTTCAGCAACTCTCATTTTATAAACATTTATTTAAAAAAGTAACATTTTGTGCCCAAGGTCTAATCCCGCAAGGTCTAAAACAGTATCAGTGGATAAGTTTTTTGCATTGACTGTACTCTTAGACCTTCCGGGAATTAGACCTTCGACATACTACCAGATTAGACCCTCAGCAACAAGTACAAACTGCAAAATGTGTGTCGAAGGTCTAATTAGACCTTCCGGGAATTAGACCTTCAGCAACTGATCCATTGAAAATTGACATTTTTGGACATTTTAACATCAACCAACTAGTTGCATGGTCATTCAGGAAATAGAATTTTCCACAGTAATTTCATATGTCTAATTATTAACATTGCGAGCTAGCGTGTAAGTAGCCCAGTGTGAACACAGTTGCTTGTACTTGTGTACATGTAATTCGAAGATGTCGATGTTGATTCTACTGGGAGCTGTTGTAGCAAAAGTGAATAAAAATTAATTGATTAAACGTCAAGATGAGAATCAGAAAAGGAGGAAATTTGTAGGTGAAGCAGTGGGTAGGAATAGGTACACCTTATACGTCTAAATATACAAATACAGTAGAGTCCCGCAAACTCGGCACTCGATAACCCGGCAGTCTGGATAACTCGGCCATCACCTGGCTCAGAAAATTTGTGATTTTTTGAGTCCGAGTTAAAAATGGACTCAAGCCAGCTAGACAAATCATTCGCAACTCATACCAAGGATTTGTTGTACTAAATCTGATGACTTTACTACTGACTTGTAATAAAAATATTAATAAAAAAGGTGGTTAAAAAGCTTAAAAATAGTATTGTTCTTATTTTTAACCCTAGTTCCTGATAACCCGGCATTTCACAAACTCGGCACCCTTCCAGTCCATATTTGCCGAGTTTGCGGGACTCTACTGTAAATAGATGTTATACTTTACTTGATGTTCCGAAAGGCTGGGAAATCTTGGTACACTTGTAGGAATAGCAATATGTTAGCCACAGTAGACTTAATTTTAAATGTACGAAAAAGCCAACACAAAACCAGTTCTACAAGCCGGCGAGTCGGCTAGTAGACAAGCTCCATTTGAATGAATGTGCACACTCCCCGACTCGCCGGCTTCTTACACACAAGCGTGTAACTTGTAAACTTGCTCCATGTGAACGGGGCGTAGAGTCATGAATTAACTGTACTAGTGTTTCTATTTACTATATTGCAAAATAAATTAATCTTGTATGATTATTGTTTTATTTCTGCAGCACAAATGCTACATAGTCGCAACGAACGACAAGGACTTAAAGAGAAGAATCAGAAAAATACCAGGTGTACCCATCATGTACATATCACAACACAGGTTAGATTGAATTTACAGTTTTTATTCAATAATGTTAAACAATGAAAATACTATTTTGTCAGTAATTGATATGATATTTTACCTTTTTAATTCACTAAGACAACTGTGTTTGTCTAATCTAATAGTAAAAAACACCATACCTTTTGCATTGCTTAAAACCAATTATCTAGTTGATCTTAGCAGCAGAGGATGATCCCACCAGTTTGGAGTAGGTAGTAGTTTTCTATAACATATTGCCATGGTGTGCTAAAATCTATCTATAGTACCTAAATGTTTTAAGTAAATCTCCAATAAATTGGTTTTAAAACCAATCTCCATAGATTGGTTTTGAAAATTATCATTCTGTGTTTTTAAATGGTTTATTCACTAATAGCTTACAATGTCTATGGATGAATAAGTATCTTCGTTAGGAAAGAATTTCAAAATTACATTTTTTTAAATTCTAATCTATAAAATAACTGTTGGAAAGTCTTTCTGATCAAACAGTCTAAAAGTCTAATCTTTAAACATTGATTAAAACAGAATTTCGTTACTATGTTATGTTGAAAACTTCTGTTTTAGGTACACAATTGAGCGGATGCCAGACGCTTACGGTGCCCCAAAGACGTGACTACAATGGAGCATTTAAAATAAAAATATTTTGATTTTACATTTTTGTTCTGTATTTTTGTCTCAATTCTTTGGCACCCACAAGAGTTTGTCCTTTTAGTTAAGCTATTTTAAGGAAACACACCAAGTATCTGTTAAAAATGTGTGCTACATATTAAGGGGGACTGTAGTTACTAATAACTAATGTAGTAAATTTGAATCAGTTTTGGATAAAGCTTATGTAGAAAAAAATTTTGCGAATATAATTTTTCACTTAAGGGAAATGGTTGTAAATCCTATATAAGTGCTAGGTAGTTGATACTATATCAGATTATCACTTAGAACAATAAATCTTGTTTCATCAAAACATTGCATTTCTCTACTGTCAGTCTACTATCATCCTCATAAATTGTTTTGATAATTTTGGATACGTAGAAATGAAGTTGGTTCATCAAGTTTTCAGTTGATTTTGTTTTGTTAACAGATAAGTGCCAGTGATGTAGTGGTCTAATAAATTTAAAAAAAATTATAATCTATTAATTCTTATGAATTTTGGTTGGAAAGTTAATTCCCTTTAAAATTTAAACATAGCCATTGTGGTGAGTATGGACAACGTGACAAGTGACAGTTAAAGGTTAACATATAGGGTTGTTAAAATAAAATCCAGTGGATTTACTTAGATCAATTTATACTTCAGTGACTATTAGTGATGTGTCAAAACCCAATCTCAAATCTCAAAACCATCAAAACTTAGGAAAAGTTCCGGTTTCGAGATTCAATCACCATGTTTCGAGATTCAAAAGTTTTGAAATTGAAGATTTTGTCAGTTTTATTTTTGAAACTGCTGACATTTTTTTGTGCCATTGTTATTGTTTTTTACACTGTTTCAAACAAGCTGGTAGCAATAGAGCAAACATCACCATTAACGGTAATGAAACAAGTAAATTTTATTCTGAACTTGAAAAGGTATCTTAAATACTATAACTGGTACAATTCAGTTTAACATCAATATTTACTAAACACAAAGAAATATGGACCACTAAATGTTCTAATTAATCTAATATTCATGTTTATGTTGGTGTTAGAAGTTTAATTTATTTTTTTTGTTGGTTGTTCATGAAAAATTATGTTGTATCTGGGTTTTAAGATTATCAGTCACATTCACATATTTATGTTATGTCACGGTCAGGAGGAGTCAATCTCTTTCATTTTTGATTGTATACTTAACATTTTATGATTATGTGTAATTTTTGTAACCCTTGACCTTTGTAACCAGCTAAGTAAAAAAGTTTCTCGTTCAGGTTTTGAGATTCGGGATTAGATTTTTTTAAGTTTCGGATTCGGTTTTGATATTCAAAATTTTTGGTTTTGACCATCACTAGTGACTATATTAGACATAACTTCTCATGGCACGACTGTGAACCTAAACTAATTGCCACAGCAACCAATTGGATTGCTGGTAATACAGATATTTTAAACCACTTATAGTACATCTTCGTAACAAGAAAGCTACCCATCTTGAAAATCAATTTATTTGCAATATCTTTATATTGGTGTAATTGTTTCAGAATTCCCTTGTACACTATAGTACTCGGGCAAAAATGCTTTATAATTATAAACGTTTTGAAATACTGCAACGATAAAAAAAAATAAACTTGGTAGGTTTGTTAATCATTGGCGGAATGGAGAATGATGGATTGAAAATAATCCACTTCAACACCCAAGGATTCCAGAGTAAAGTGCAAAATATAAATAAATTCGTTAAAATTCACAACCCAGACATACTAGTTATTACAGAGCACTTCCAGAAAAGTAAAAATCAACTGGAAAAAATCGATGGATACAAAATAGTCAACTCATTCTGTAGAAAACACAATGAACGCGGTGGAGTTGCGATATGGGCGAAGAACACTATCAGCTGTGAACCTCGTAAAGATCTAGACAAACATAGGAGAGAGAGAGAGTTTGAGTTGGTCAGTGTGAGCGTAGGCGATGTCGTAATCACTGGAGCTTACAGACCTCCAGACACAAGTATTACGGAGTTCCACAATCATCTGACACGATATATAAACAAGATCAACCAAGAAAACGTCAAGCATGTCTTGACCGGAGACTTCAACATTGACAACCGTAGAGACAATTCAACCAGGGACATCCTGAAAAAACACAATCTTACCTTCAACATAACAGCGCAGACACACAAAGCAGGTGGCAGTTTGGACAATTTCATCACAAACTTTAAAAAATCCAAATCTCGTGTTATAAAATCTAAAATCAGCCAGTTTTCAGACCACAGCCCCATAGAGTTGGTAGTTGAGGCAGAAGTGGACATGATTGAGAAAAGAGAATCCTTCTTCTGGAGGATTTTCAGTAAGATATTTTTCTGGAGAGAAAGATCCGGCTCAAACAAGGAAGCACCATTGGAAAAGAACTCTTCATTTTTTGAGGGCTGCAAAATGTTTTTTAGTAACATTTATCATAATTTCTTTGATACAACTTTTGACAATGCCAGTGATGTGAACAGTGCAGTGAAGGAAAAGAAAAGCAAACAAAATCCAAATAGAACTCCAAATATGAATGAATCAAACTCTTTATTTTCCTTACTTTCTGGGATGTTTACTTCACAATCATATAGTCCCTCTGAAAAAACCCCTGAAAGTATTAAAAACTATAGAAAGATGGATTTTAAAAAATCAGACTCAATACTTACACGGTTTTTTAATCTTTTTAAACTACTGTTGGTATAGTATTGGAATTAAAGGTTTTGGCACTTTAATCAAATTAATTTATACCGTAACTACATTAACCATTTACTCATCTTCATGTTATTTAGCAGAAAACTTATTTTGGCACTAAAATTAATTTCATTTAGTAATTAATTGTAAAATCTAAAACAAAGGTTCTTTCCATAAAATTAATGTGTTTTGTAATTCAATTCAATACAATATTAATTCAGTTTGCAGAAGAAAAAAACTGTTCACAGTGATACCAAAGAAAACATATGTTTTCTGTGGTGCGATACTGATAAATAAAACTACTGTAGTGGTAGTGCAAGCAATGTCATGCCTGGTATTGTTGTGCAATCGGTATCTCAAGAATTGGTTTTGTGTAGTGTTTTCTACCCCTAGGGAATCTAGGAAACATGTCAAGTCATGTTTTTCAAAGTAAGTAGGATTTGAAAGTTATTAAATTGCATAGATAATAGATGTAACTCATTTAATATGCTACTATGTAAGGTATATAATATCTAGATAATGTTTTGAGGTTAGAATTGAGATTTTTAATTTATTCAATTTATTTGCTATGATAATTTCAATGTTTTAGTTTGGCCTTGATTGTAGGCATGAGGTTAATAAGGGCGTAGTATTAGTATTGCATGAATGAGGTGATAGATAGCCTTGTTTTTAGTTAATAGTTAATGGTTCTCAGGATATATTGGCTGCCTTCATGTATTTGGGTGTGCACTAGGCTTATAACTAATTATCTATCTAATAATACCAACCTAATTCTTATCAATTTAATTGAATAATGCTGTTCTATAGTTTTAACTTCTACAAATATGTTTACAATTAAAGATAAGTTACTAGTTGCTCTTGAGAGCTACAAGACAACCCATTTTCAAAACTAAGAAAAATAAGTTAATTATTAGATAGACAAATCATTATTTTAATTTCATTTATCTTATAACAAATATTTACTGTAGGCCTACTCAACTCATTATACCGGTACCATTAAATTATATAAGACAAAATTAATTGCCTTTTTGTATTGTGCCTTTTTTAAACATTCTTGCCACCAAGACAAATATAATGTGTTCTTGGGAAAACAAATAGAATCAAATTTTACAATGCTTTGATTCTCTTTTGTCGTGATTGGTTGCTGAACAAAGGACACAATACAAATAATGTAAAGGTTACAGCCTCTGTCCGTCTTCAGTCTTAAAAATAGTCTGGGGATGACTAGTTTTGGGTCAAAGACCCATTATCAAATCCGCATCAAATTGAATAGTCTATAATTTGACGGAAGTCTTTGTTAAAACGTTTATACAGGTCAACACACATTTATAAAAAAATTACTGAAAAAAATTAAATGAAAAATCTACTTTGTGTTGTTCAAAAAAGTTATTGTAAATTATGTTATTTTCTCATAAAAACCCCATAAAATAACAAAAAATAGGATTTTAGAAAAAAGCCGGTTTTGATTTAACTTAGTACGGTACCTATGTTAGTATGTTATGGTCCTTAAAATTGTGAAAGTTTTTTCATTTTTTTTAAATTTTGATTTTTAATGGGGATTTTCCCATAACTTTTCTCAAAAATGGCCTGAACGATTTTCTTAAAAATTTAGTATGTTATAGTCCTTTAAATTCTGAATAAAATTGTACAAATCCCATTTCCATAAATATTATGGTTCAAAAGTTATTGTAACTTATGTTATTTTCCCACAAAAAACCATAAAATAACAAAAAAAATCTGATTTTTGGGGAAAAACTGGTTTTGATCAAAATTAATATATTATGGTCCTTATAGTCTAACACCCCATTGCTGTAACTATTTTATATGGTTCAAAAGTTATTGCAAATTTTGTTATTTTTAACCATAAAATATCATATTTATTCTCACCGCTTACCCATGATAGAGGTTTTTGACAAGCTTATGGGAGAAAGTACGTGTCAGAATGCTGATACCATTTATTCTTAGTTTATTTTTCCCCAGAATCAATAGTTACAGCAACATGTAACATATAAGTGAAGAAGATCTCAAAGAGAACCAACATTATAATTTTGTATTTACTTCGATAGAACTCGTGATTTTGTTATTTGACTTGTAATTGAAAATAATAAATTAAATGTTAAAACAACTAAGGGTAATATGATTTATGCATCAGCAGAATAAGTTAAATGCATTATAATGATAAGTTTCTATTCTGCATATACAAGTGCTCTTAAACAGGAACCTATTTGTTGCTGACTCAACTGCTAACTTTAGATAACAGAGGGGTCAAAGGTTACTCAAGCCTGGTTTCACTGAATTAATCTTGTTCAGAGGTTTGGAGCTCAACTACTTGTGTCTTATCAACACTCAGGTTTATCTGCATAACCATTCTTTTTCAAACCAAATATTAATAATTTAAAATCAATTTTTAAACAGTTCTTTGTGGTTCTCAATTATAAAACAATGTCTAGCAGGAGACAGACCAGAAGATCAAAACAGGAACAATTGTTGTCTGCTATTTCTTATTTCAAGGATCGCTTGGTAGTCAATGGTTCAATTGTAAGCCCAGACAATGACGTGTTTTCTAAAATTTCCCGGAAAGTGAATAGCGAAATGTCTGCAACAGCTGTTTATGAATTTGTAACTCAGAATAAGGTAGCTTTGGCAAAATATGGTGAATGGGGTGTATGTGATGAGTCCAAAGAAAACAAAATACCAGTCTCAAATTGCAGTAGCTCGCAAGATGCCGAAGGTAGGTGACGTTAACTAAGAGTAGGTTTATAGAAGAATAAATTTGCATAAGTGCTTACATCGTACAAGATTATCAACAAATTTTTAGCAGTATTTATGTTTTGCTCAGTAGCTTACAATTTGTTTCGTTGCGAAGACAACATAGATAGACAACAGCGCTAAATGTCATATCTATAACATATCTAATAAATGTTTGTGCTTACATACAATATTTCTATGTTCGTATCGTGCTTGTTGTAGCCTAATTGTGTTTTTGACAAGTTGCATGCTTTGAGAATTATGTCATCGCAACTAAACATGTTAAGCTACTGAGAGCAATCTTAATCGAATCGTTAGACTAATTGACGACAACAATTTGATGCATGAGTGAAAATTTAAAAACGTACGTTTTCATGTCCCTGGCCTTTTACTTCGTAGATACTGGATTTGTAGTTTATTATTATGTGTATTAATATTTTTTGGGACGGGGGCAACATGTTACACACATTTATTTGGTTTTAAATAGGTTCTAGGTATTTTTTTTCGTATTTTTAAAGTCTCGAAATTCACGACCATGACGTGTCGCTAGGAGACTTTCCAACTTTCATGCTGTTTTTAGACTAATTATTCATGCCGAAATATATAAAGCCATATTTTTATGTCATCAATAGTTATTAAACTTACAAAAAAGGAGCATATATTATAATTTTATTGTCATTGCAAACTGACTACCATGACAAAATAAGTCTGTCCCTCGATTTGGCGTCACGACCATTTGGGAAAAATTTTCAACTTTGGAGCACGACAGTGGCAAGCCTGGCATCGATGGAGTCAGTTGGTTTTAGAGACTAGTTCGGGGTGTACGTCAGGATTGTAGTGCCGGTCGATTCGAGTTGAAAGGAGGAATTACAAGGTTAATAAAGGAAAGATTGTGTTTTTTGTAATTTTGTTGTGTCCATGACCGTACGTAGTCATTCGATGAGGTAGACATGGTGTTAATTTTTGTTTATAATATATTTCAATTGCTAGATTAACCTAGAAGTCCACTTTGTATCCTCGAACATGAGGTGCAGGGCTACCCCCAGAACAGAGCCAAATAACACGTAATTTCACGACCAAAGTTTCACGACCATCGCGGGTTTTTTCACGACCAATCCAGCCTTATGGATTATAGTGTGTTTGGTCGTGACAATATAATTGTAAATTGAACAGTTTAGTTCAATTGAAACACATATTTTTATTATAACTAACAGGATAATTGAAGGATTGTTTAGAAAGATTTAGATTATTCCAGACAATTCACGACCATACCGCTTGTCCCTGACCATCACGTTTATGATTTCTATCATAAAAATTTCAAAAATTAAAATATCGTCATATTTCAATGTTTTATACACAAAAGAAGCACACCTCTATACAAACATATCGATTTTTCGGGTCTCAGGTAAGTTTTTTCAGAGTTATACAAACTTAAAAAGATTTTATTGGCTTTTTTTCAATTTTTTGAGTATTTTTATTTTTTTCTAGAAAGACCAAATATACCAAAGCTCAGTGACCTTTTTATTGTATAATGGTCATAAAAGTAAATTAGTTTAAAGCAAAACATAGTTTTAAAATTATATTAACTATTTTTAATATTCATTTAAACGTCCGTTATGGTCGTGACAGGATTTTGTGTTTTTCCACTAAAGTTGCTCTTTTAAAAAGAAACTACCAAAGATATTGCGTTACCATGGACATTTTATGAAACTTTAAATGTTAATGAAATAAAAAAAATAATAAAAGTTTTGAAAAAAGGGGAAAAAAATTTGCAAAGTGCTTTTCCTGAAAACGTACGTTTTTAAATTTTCACTCGCATATTCGTTTTTTCTTTTTAATTTGTAGCTAATAAAAAGTACCAGTACCAGTATAATCTTGATGCAGTGGTTTGAGGAAATGATCCTCCACAGAAATGTAGATGAAAAATGCTTTTAAAACATGATTGTTGGCTGCATTAAAGCATTATTGATTAAGGAATTGCCAATAACAAATGTGCACAGCATATTTAATTGTCTCTAAAATCTGTGTTAAATATACAGAGCTTGGTAAATTAAAATTAAGACAATATACCAGTGGCATGACAATGGAGCGAGTGGAGCAGTCGCTCCAGGGCGGCAAGCACAATTGGGGGCGGGGCAGCGCCAGGCTAGGATTGTTTTTACTACGTTGTTGTCAAGCGTGTAGGGGCGGTAGGATGGTGAAGGGGAGGGAGGAGGTATGGCCTGAGAGGATTTGGCGCAGTGTCTTGGGCTCAGCAAGTATTGGAGTTGTTAATTTATTGATACTACTGTTTCTTTAGAATTGTTGTTTAGTGCTAATATAATGAACTATGAATTCGGTTTAAAATATTTCTACAAAGTATGCGGGTGGTGAGGAGTTAAAGCTGCTAGGACCACCAAAACCTGATTGAGTTATTACACAATGTCAAAAATCCTGTAAAAATGTAGGAAAGGATTTATGTTTGTACTGTTATGCCTTAAATGCTCAAACGGGCTTTATTTTCTAACTAAGTGCTTAAGCCACACGTCACCGACATCTACCCGACATTTGTAAATTTGCGTCCTTTACTCAGTTCTCTCTACCATGTGCTATCCTGTTTTGAGGAGATTTCTAAGTAAGGATAAGTTCCGTCCAAATAACTTAATTTAAAGTCATGTTTTTATTTTCGAATACCCTATTCAAATAAGTTAAATATAATAAACCCAATTAAAATACCAATTTTATGTTTTTAAAATTATTATGTCTAGATTGTGTAAAAACGCTAGTTTACAGTTATTATTTTTCAAAAATCTTTTCGAGGGAGGACCCCCCGCCACCGGTACTATAGGGGAGGGGGGGGGGTGGCTTGGGCCATCCCTGCTCCAGAGGGTGCTCCAAACCTGGCTAACCCACTGCATAGTGTACAATTAGTAAACCACATAATATAAAAAATAAAAGGTAATTGGACATTATTAGTTTTTCCTTGAAAACCAGTTATGAACTTAATTAAAATGTTCAATTTGCCCACAGCAGGTCCCCCTCCTGTTATTTTAAAAGAATAAGGTTTTATTTGGTTTATCCACTGAGTAGGAACTGTTAATTATCAACTATCAGCTGTGTAAATAAATACAGTTGAACCTTAAAAGGACATTAGGGAAACAGTCTTGTTAGTTATCAAAGGATCTTTTTTTTGGGGTCATGTCAAAATTATTTAGGCTAGCAGTCTTGTTGTCAAGATTAATGAAAGGACTTAGAATGGGGACGCGGAAAGGTCGCCCCCGGAAACATCAACCCCCTACGTCATAATGACGTCAGAGACCGGGGGGTGATGTTTCCGGCCGCAGACACTCAATTTCAGTTGCAGCATGCACTCGTCGATATGACGAGTTATTTTTGAGTTTGCGTATTAATTAGATAATTATATTCACTTATCATATACAGTTACCAGATTTTCTTATTACAATTGATGTTAACCGGATACGTCAACCCCGATCGTTTTCAAAATGCACACCCCGGAAAGGTCCCCCCCCTGCCATGATCACCCCCGGTATACCTGCTGAAGGACTTGGGCTCGTGACTCGAGCCAGCTATTGTTCCAAAGGGTAGAGACTGTCCCATATTACCACCGCTAGACTCTGAACTCGCAAGAATGGGAAGGATTTGGTATTAGTGGGAAATCATGAAATAAAGAGAATGTGACACTGTTGCTTGCTTCTCTGTCAACGCAAACGTTAACAGTGTGAGCTTTTTCCTGTTTATTGCCGAAGAAACTAACCAATATTTACTTTCTAAATTCTTTTTACGGGAAAGAGTCCTTCACCAATATCAAATCAGGAATATTCTCAATGCATTTATTTTACCATAAAATCCAGACAATTATTTAAATGTATATCATATACAACATTTATTGCTCAATGTTTACAATTTAAGAATTAGGAAATGTGAAAATATGTTTGTCAAGTGTGTACTGTATTATGATTTTGAGTGATTGAAGCATGCTCATATTAAAACCAGTTATTCACCAGTCATATTACCAAGGGAGTACATTTTATACGTTGACGGAAAAAAAACGTTATGTAATTTATACATCATTTGATGTATAATATTAAGGGGAAATGTCTAGAGAAAGCACAATATCAAAGTGTTAATTTGTATTTATCTTAATATCCACAACATTTGCGTAATAATTCCAAATCCTTCCCATTCTTGCGAGTTCAGTCTAGTGGTGGTAATATGGGACAGTCTCCTACCCTTTGGAACAATAGCTGGCTCGAGTCACGAGCCCAAGTCCTGATTACATTACTTGTCGTTGATTATACAACTGAGATGTTCAATGATATTATCAAAGATCTGTATTTTGAATCAGACTCATCCCTATTATTATAAGGGAGGTGAAGTTCTGTCCAGGAACAAACTCGAGATCTCTTAGGTTACTATACCAAGGTTGTGACACACAAATACTTCTCATCACATCTATATATTAATAGGCAAGCATGTTTCTTTAAAACCTTTTTTCTCAGCTCGTGTGCATCGTAGGTAAAATCTACGCATACCTTTAGAAAGCTATTTTCCTCTAGGTGTGCAGAATCCCTTTATAAATTTAAATAGGCTCAAAGATAAGCACGAAAAATGAGTTTAAAAATTTGAAAAAATTAACATGGATTTTATGCGTTGCCATGGTGACGAAATAACAACGAAATATAAACTGAAAATAAAAAAAAAATGGAAGAAACTCCAATCACATGTTTTATTTACAGTGTGGGGTGAAAATAGATAAGTGAGTACAGTACATTAGATATTTTTGGTCGAGTTTCGACCACTGGACGACCTCTCGTTGTATTTAAATGGAAGCTCGTTTTAAGAGTGATTCGTGTTGAGCGCTTCACATATAAATGTAGCAACGAGATTTTTTTCTCCATATTATAGTAGCATAGATAAAACGTGTATAATTTATATATTATAGTAGCATTTAGAATAGTAGCATAGACTAACCAACGTTTTATC